ATCACCCATCTTTCACAATACTTTAAGGCAGCATGAATGCATATAGGTGTGTGCATACGCAGGTGTAAATGAAAACACAAATGTGCACACACAACTCTTGCACATGCAGAATACAACCAATACATTAAGAAAAACTAGTGGATCATGTACATTCATCATAGCATAATAAAAGTGACTCTAAAATAATTTGATTTTTTTAAAGTTGAGTTTCTTGTATCGTTCTTGACAATTCCTTGCAAGTGCCAATTTAACACTGTAATGGTTTATAAAAGATATTTTGCCTAGATCAGTAAAGATTATGGCTAAATATTTTCCAGGTCTACATCTGAACATGTTAATTATATCTATCATCATATTTTAATCAATGCCCAGCTACCACATCATGATAAACAGCTTTGTTAAAAGAAAGTGATTTCTCAGAAGTAACTTAAACCTTTTTTAAAAGGGGAAGAAAAAAAAAGACTCCAGCAAATGCTTCTCCAAACAAAGTAACACTAAACCTTGAGTTTGAATTTATTGACCAAAAACCTTAGTTGATACTTGGTTCTTCTCCCTCAAATACTGCAGCTAATTGTTTTTTGACCTTATTGACCCTTATCCATACTAGAAATGCAAATGCATTGCATGGGGAGGAGGGAAAACAAATCTCACCAAATCTCCAGAGAGCTGTTATGAATGGCATATAGGACTGGTAGCACAAAACATGTTAACTTAAAATACAAATTGTTATTACATGCTACTGTGTGATTGACTGCAGGCTTCAAGTTCATCTAATCTGCATAACAAGAACAAAAACTATAAATTTACAGAAGGCAAGGAAATTCAGAAGTTATAGTGGTAATAACATCCATTACAGAAACAAAGCACAACAAACTGAAATATAAGCATCGACCTTATTTGTTACTTTCACAGGGTCTGCTCTTCCGTTAACGAGGAGCCACTTTTGACACAGGACATATGTACGGACCAAATCCTTCCTCTTTTCCTTCACTTGCCTGCAAAATGCACCCCTGGGTTGAGGGAGAAGGAAGCGCAAATCTCTCACCTTCTTCGATCTAGAAGGGTATGTCCACATCATTTGGATCTCGTACACGATGACGACACAGGATAAGAGGATGCAGTGTGCACTGCAACGCAGGAATACACCTGAATACTTAGCAACTCCCTGTTTACTACCTCTGTAAATTTTGATGTTGGCAGATCTGGGCCATGAAAAAGATTGCATGGGGGCTCTCAATGAAATGAACAGGGAGTGCAACAGTGCACCTTACAGTGCAGACTTCACCCTAACAGAAAGCTCCTCCATGTAACAACTATTATTTTAGAATCATAGATCAGTCAGGGTTTGAAAGGACCTTAAGATCATCTAGTTACAACCCCCCTGCAACGGGCAGGGACACCTCACACTAAACCATGTCACCCAAGGCTCTGTCCAACCTGGCCTTGAGCACCACTGGGGATGGAGCATTCACAACTTCCCTGGGCAACCCATTCCAGTGCCTCAACACCCTCACAGTCAAGAATTTCTTCCTTATATCCAATCTAAACTTCCCCTGTTTAAGTTTTAACCCGTTACCCATTGTCCTGTCACTACAGTCCCTAATGAAGAGTCCCTCCCCGGGCATCCCTATAGGACCCCTTCAGATACTGGAAGGCTGCTAGGAGGTCTCCACGCAGCCTTCTCTTCTCCAGGCTGAACAGCCCCAACTTCCTCAGCCTGTCTTCATATGGGAGGTGCTCCAGTCCCTTCATCATCCTCGTGGCCCTTCCTTGGACTTGTTCCAACAGTTCCATGTCCTTTTTATGTTGAGGACACCAGAACTGCACATAATACTCCCAGTGAGGTCTCACGAGAGTAGAGGGGCAGGATCACCTCCTTCAACCTGCTGGTCACGCTCCTTTTGATGCAGCCCAGGATATGGCTGGCTTTCTGGGCTGCAAGTGCACACTGAAGCCAGATCGTGTTCATTTTCTCATCAACCAGCACCCCCAAGTCTTTCTCTGCAGGGCTGCTCTGAATCTCTTCTCTGCCCAACCTGTAGCTGTGCCTGGGATTGCTACCACCCAGGTGTAGGACCTCGCACTTGTCATGGTTAAACTTCATGAGGTTGGCATCAGCCCACCTCACAAGTGTGTCAAGGTCCCTCTGGATGGCATTCCTTCCCTCCAGCATATCAACTGAACCACACAGCATGGTGTCATTGGCAAACTTGCTGAGGGCGCACCCAATCCCACTGTCCATGTCAGTGACAAAGATGTTGAACAGGACTGGTCCCAACACCGATCCCTGAGGGACACCACTCGTTACTGGTCTCCAGCTGGACACTGAGCCATTGACCACAACTCTTTGCGTGCTACCATCCAGCCAGTTCTTTATCCACTGAGTGGTCCATCCATCAAATTGATGTCTCTCCAATTTAGAGACAAGGATGTCGTGTGGGACAGTGTCGAATACTTTGCACAAATCCATTTTAAGGAATTCATTTTTATTTTTCAATTTTGTTTCAGTAGCATAGGAAGGATGCATATTTGAAATTAAGAGAAATCCTTTAAAATAATTAAAAAAAACCTTTATTAATAAAGCTAACATTTTTTCCATTTTTTTAAACTAGTAAAGAATACATGATACATTCCAAATACACAACCAAGGAAAACACTGAAAAAGGATATAAGAAATAAATAATGCAAATCTATAAAGGCCAAAAGTTTTCACAGAAATTCCGTAAATCAGACTGTGAATGGGACCTCTCAGGAAGTACTGGGTCTTAAAATGTAAGATTTCAAGAAATAAAAAACTGAAGTAAGGTTCTCAGAAAACCACCTCTTTTAAATAGCCACTTCCATACTTTGTATAAGCCTACATTAATATACTAAACAAATTAAGGCTTAAAATTAAGTGTACACAGAAATGGAAATGCTGATAGGAAATGCCTCCCTGTGGTTCGCAACCATTTAATTACGGTAACTTGCTGTGCAACATACATGCAAGGTTCCCCGAGGCAACAAATCTTTTAAATAATACAATAACCTTAACTCTCACAGAAAGCAAAATAGAAGAGAGACTATCCGACATTCCCTTTCCAACAACACCGTGATTGCAATAGATGACTTACATGGGATGAAGGGCTGAACTTCTTCCCCATGTTCAGTTGTTCTCAGGAGCAAACAATAACTCCCTTGAAACAGATACTCATTTAGTCATTCCATATCATAATTCCACCTCTGAAGAGGTAACAATTTTACTTGACTTTGTTTTCTCTTTTTGCAGGACACAGCAGAAGTTTCCAGATATCACCCACAGAAAGAAGATTTTGAGAAAGAACTGCTGAAATTCTTCATCTATACTGAAGCTGCCTGCAATAGACCTGAGGTGACAAAAATCCTCCTTTATTCCTGCATTCCCCAAATAACACATAGTGTTCTTAACTCTGTGTTCCCAATGATTAAATCTCAGGTTACTAAGTAATATTCATATAAATCTATAAGCACTTTATGTTGCAAAGTAATCATCTCTATAAAACTTTTTTTGATGGAGCTCTGCATGAACTCTACCACCTTGTTTGACATTACTGCCCAACAATGACAATGTAGATGCAAACCAGACACGGAACAGTAATACATTCACTGAGCCTTTTTAAAAAACGTTTTCAAGTCAGTTAAAAACAACAAAACCAAACAAACCAAAACAACAACCAAACACCAGAATGAGAAGGGAAGGTCTGCAAATCAAAGTCTGTTTTAACTTACGCAGGTAAGAGTAAGGAAAAACTTGTCAATATTGGATATACAATACTGCTACATGGAGGAGGAAAATCAAGTTCCTTGAAAAGCTCCTGCATTTGGAGGCATTTTTGCAAGCCAAAACTGCTTGTCTCCCTCTTCAATTCTCACTACATGATTTAATAATTTCACTGACACAAGTCTGGAGAATTTACAGGAGAGTCAAAACAATCACAACTAAGAAACTGCTAGTCCATAAAAAAGGAATGCTTATTTTCCTCGCAAGTAGATTCTTACAGAAGTCTGAAATAATACTGGAGGAGATGCACAGTTAGGCCACTTGTTACAACTGTGTCCGTCTCAGTAATCTGTGGCTGTCTCAGTACTTTGGTACCACAGATCACAACAGCTTTCCTGCCAGTACACAACATATGAGACATTCTTTGCTACGGGGTTGTAAGCTAAACATGAATAAAAGAATGCAAAACACCCCAGGGTGGAGCTGTCACAACTGACCCATTTTTGGTTTAACTGTATTGACAATGTCAATTTAAAATAAAACTAATACCACCCAATGGGTAATCACACTGACCCTTACTTTGCTTCAGGAAAAAGCTACTAAAAGCTATTCAGTGTCTCCTGAAATAGGAAGAAATTTCACTGCAAGCATTAAGTCCCAAGTCAATAACCTAGATCTGGATATGCAATGAAATGATTCCATTTGAATTAACTGCCTGTATAAGAAACATAATACTCCATTCATTCCATTCACATTTCACTTGATGCTACTGAATATTGAAATATTAAATAATTTTTTTTTTGCCAACAGCATTGGAATTTGGGATTTCTTTTCCTTACGATACACACTTCTTTGTACATTGTATGCCTGCAACTCAAGGCTTTATCCTTTTTATCTGACTTCTTTTTTCATAGGTAAACAGTGGCATTTAAAAACAGAAATGAATTCTCAAAACTCGCAAGTATGGGAAACAGTTGGAAAAAATAATGCATAAATCTATCCACCTATGCAGTAGCAGCTTCTGAAAACTGCTTTGAGAAAGCTGTTAGTGCAGAAGACATCTTCCCATAGATCTGAAAAAGCTTACTTCAGAGACAGCCAAGTTGAAAAACTTTCTATTTTACAGATAAATTTTAATGAAAAATTTTGATTCCCCTGTAAAATACCCCTTTTTAAGCTTCAGCAGATAGTTCTGAACTTCTCAGAGCATTTACCTTGCCAGCTCTTTAACAAATCGTTAACATAAACTGAAGCAGAATACACTGAATAATTATTTTCCAGAGTTCACCTTTATTAAAAACAAGGTTTTTGTTGTGAGAACAAATAATCTCTCACTTGTAGCTTGAAAGCCTAAGATAGGATCATTAGCTTCCAGGGTTGTTACTAGCTGCTTAGCAACCTGTCCAACTTGTCTTCCTTCCTTCCTGTTGTACAGAACTGTGGCCAGAGGAGTTGGCTGGCGATAGATGAAAACTCGTCGTAAGCACTCACAGAGAGCAGCGTAGGAATAATCTGGAGCACAAGCCATGAACTTCTTGTCTTGCTTTGATGCTTGGACGTAACCTGCATAGCCCAAAAAGAAGTAGAAAAGCTCAGTAATATATTAGTTTCACCAGCATTTTAACTGGCTAAGACAAAATCAAGCTTAGCTTAAAAAATAATCATGCAGTTAGAAACAAAAAAAGGAGAGAGAACTATGTTGTTATTTAATAAGCCAATAGGTTTTGGAGGTCTGCAGTGGCCAATTTAATACCAATACATCTTCCCAACAGGTGTTTCTAATGCATGTGTGTGTACAGCTAGATACTGCTCCCACATCTAGTTTCTCTCTGCCTCACAAGGTCTTCGATTTTCTCAGCAGAATCATAAATCATGGATACACAACGTGACCCAATATTACTAGCCTAAGCAGAATAACCCTCTTCTCTCCCCTCATCTCCCAGTTTATAATTACATTTACAGTTTAAGATTCCTGAGCCTACCTAATCTTGAACAGGCACTTGGAACTTCCTTCAACTTAGAACTGCGTGCTTTTCAACACAGTCACCTTTGTTAACGTTCACTAAGAAGAAAATCTTTCCTTGCCTCTGCCATTACAGAACTCAATTAGTAAACAGATGTATTTCAGACCAATTTCCTTTCACACTTTCATAAAGGGACTTGAGACACAGTCTTTGTAAAGCGGTCTACCTGATCACTTTAGATCAAGTAAGATATTCTTCCTGAAAGGTTATCTGCTTAACTTCCATTGAACAATGCATGGCAATGGTTATCACTGAAAGACAGCATCTCTGAGAACAGCACGCATGCCAAAGCTTACTTTTTTTTGGCTCTCCCTCTTCACTTACTATCAGAAGGTAAAGGTGAAAGTACTTGTACTGGAGCTGGCTGGGATGCGGCTAACTTTCTTCACAGCAGACCTCAAGATACTGTGTTTTGAATTTGTGACTAAAACCCAATTTTGATCCAACAGGATTTTTTGGCTGTTGCTGAGCAGTGCCTGCGCATTGTCACCATTGCTGTTTTTGAAGCTCTGCCTGCCCCCCAGTAGTCTGGGGATGCATAAGAAGTTGGGAGGGAACACAACCAGGACAGCTGACCCAAAGAGCTCAACCCAAGAGTTTCTTGCTTTTGCACTTCCTGCTCTCTCTTGTGTCCCACTGTGGGTAGAGAGGGGAATAGGAAGAGCAAGCAGCTCTGTGGTGCTTAGGTGTCCACCTGGGCTAACCCACAACAGGACCATCACACTTCAACATGCATTTCATGTCTTGAGGTTATTATGGTTGTTCTTTTGTTGTTGTTTGGTTTGGGGTTTTTTTGCTTGTTTTGTGGTTGGGTTGTTTGTTTTCTTTAATGTTAATCTGACTTCTAAATTTACAAATGCTTGCTACTGTCCTCAAAACACCATCTCTGTTCAAAGCCAGCTTGACAGTTTTCACCACAAAACAACTAGTAAATATATAGCTAGACTATCAATTGACATGATTGCTGTAGTGGGAAATATTAGGACAGCCAGAAAAACTTTCCAAGTGTAAGGTTCGTTAATTTAACTCATACATTTAAACACTGGCAATAACAGTAAGAGCAGGATTTAAGGTAGGATTGCAGGTAAAAGAAGCTTCTGAGCCAGGGGACTTGTATTTAAATGGAATTTGCCAGAAAAAAAAATGGTAAGCTCTCGATTTATGTTCATTAATAATACTTAAAATATTAATTTTTCACTCATCATCTTTGTATAGCTTGTTAAAGCTAATTCCAAAGGTTCAAGCAGAAGGAGGAGGAAAAAGGGCTACTACCATTGCTTTGGTCAATATAGTGATTATGGTAGGTTTTCAAAAACTAGCACTCACCTTCTAAGCTAGAAAATACTAATTTTTACTAATAGCTCTTTCAAACTACTTCTGAAATTGGCTGCAAAGAAACAAGCTGATGACCTACATCACCTCTGGCACTTAAAAGGTGAACTAGATTAGTACAGAAGTGTAAACTTCTATATAATACTGTAAAATGATAATACAATAAGGAGAAAAAGGTAGAGGGCAATGTTGTTTTTTGCCACCTTAGTTACAAAAAGCTCGAAGATACCATAATTTCCTTCCTGTCATTTTCAAAACAGTAGAAACACATTCTTAAAACAGTAAGATGGAGTCAGCCCAGAAACCTGAAACTAATAGTAGCTGGAAAAAAAAAAAAAAATCTTAATCCTTGTGATCGCTTTTTTCCCCCACCATAATGAAACCTGAAATGAGTAAACAAAGAACAAATTGTGAAATTACTCTGTCATTAGAGGATTTGTTAAGGTGCTTACAGTTTAATTTGATCTTAAGTTAAAATAAACAGTTAAAATCAATTATGTGTTATGGCAACCTCTGTGAGCTCTATAAAACAGCCAGTAACTTCCCTTTCATTTTGGACCCAGACTGAGTGTGGTGTGGTCAAACAAATGTATCTAGGGAAGGGAAGGAATAAATTGTCACACTCATTGCATTATTGAAGGGATAGGTATAGGGAACACTTAGAGAACATGAAGACTGTAAATGCCACAGCAGAAGTAAATTCTGGATCAGATTAATTTTCATGAAAACTGATTTATCTGTTTCTTACTCAATAGGTACAATACTGGTCTACATGGAGCATTCTATTTGATCAATTCCTACTTTTGCATCTGTATTTTGCAAAGTACTTTCTGCTTCTGACCTTTAGGATTCTGCCTCTAACAGTGGGTGAAAACAAATTCTTAGTCCTGAGTGCAAGAATACATCAGTAATTCTTCACAATCACATTTTCTGCTTTTCTGGCAGTCTGTAATTTCAGAAGATGCTAGGGGCTTCTTGAGCCACAGCTAGTACAGTTATACTCTTGACTGATCTTTCCTGTCACAATGACTTTTTTTTTTTTTTTTTACTTTGCAGTACCATGCTTGCATCCTGTATATGGTCTGAAAAGGCTTATTTTCCTCCCAAGGCATAAACATTTTATTTCTTATGTTCTAGTATTTTAAAATTAAGTTACTATGCTACTATCAACAGAATTATATTACCCTTCATTCAAATGTAAGTGAAATATCAACAGATGCCATACTAGGAGTACTGAGGCAGAAAAGTTTCAGATACAGGAGTGTGACACAGAGGTTTACTTCCTACCTAAAGCATTAAAAGTTGCAATGTGCTCCCACATGTTCTCTGGTTGGTCAGAGTGGGGCTGCCAGAGAAGAGCATCAACATCATGCCTCAGGCAGAAGCATGGCATTTCTTTAGGATCCGCAACAACTGAGAAAAGATACTGGTTGCTTCCAAGATTAATCTGAAACAAAACAAAGAAACACAAAACACTGACTAAAAGGATAAACAGCAGATTCTTTCCCACATACTGCCCAAGTAAGATGATCAGCAGCTTCATGTCTGCTACTTGACAAAATGTTTGAATACATTATGTGCATCCCACTGATCAACAGCTCAATACACTACAGGTAGCTAATATATTTCAAGCAGACACAATTAAGTTTCTTGGGATATTATTTAGGGAAACATTATGTCCACTACATAAACAAATGAGAATGTGTTCTGTGCAGAAATGGCTTCCTAGGATAGAGGATCTTGACTTCTACTGTTAGGAAAATATTCAAAGTAATCATGCCTGGTTTTCAGCAGTGCCACCAGGGAAAGAAATGCAGTAGTTTAAGCTAAGTTACTCAGAACTTTATTCAGACTGGTCTTGAAAACCTCAAGGATAGAGGCTGCACAATCTTACGAGACAACCCGATCCATCCTACAATTATAGTGTAAAAGCTTTTCCTTCTATCCAGTTTGAACCTCTTGTTCCTACTTCTGCTTGCTGCCTTTTGTCTTCTTACTCTGCATCACTGGACAGATAAAATCCATTTGAAGAGAGTTGCTTTAAAATGTCCTCCTACCAATTACAGATTTTATTTTATATGTTACCTATCACACTGTATCCACAAAACACACGACTTACTTAGCAGAGCATGCTAGCCTTTAAAATTAAACTTTATTTCTCAAGCAGCACAGATTCATGTGCAGGCATATATACACGTATATATACATACACACACACACAGGGAAATATACATATTTATCCATACTGCCAAAAGAAAAAAATACATATTTATAGTTTTTAAGGAAAAGAACAAACCAAGATCTGTAAGACACCAACGTCAGACTTCTTCCAGAGCTTTTCAGAGAAAACAGGAAATTCTGAGCCAATTCAAAATCTCATCCCTTAACTAACATATTTTCTGGACAAGACATTATCCTACACTTTGTGTGACACAAAGTAGTGATGAGCTGTAACACCAATGTTCATTACAAGCTTAGTAGAGACATCTTGAAAAAATCCCCCAACAACCTCAAGATGACAACTTAACCTGTGATGATTTCATAGCACTATTTCCTGATTTAGCCAATGGACCAGATGATCAAGTCATAACTTGCTTACAACCCAGATTAAGCCTCATATTGAAACATTTTTCCTACAATCTGTTATTTCCAGTGATTGACAAAGAAGTATTGCAAAATGATCTGTACTCTACCTCCGTAGTGAAAAGGGTCAACTTTCTATCAGGCTAGCTGCAAAGTTATTGAAAAAAATATAAGCTAAGTAATCTATAACTATTTTATGCCACTGAAAATGACCCCTTCCTTTTAATTATTCTGACATAACTTTGCTTTTTCGAATGGTTCACTTGTGAAAGTAAATATATTTTTAAACCAGAATAAAGACAGCCTTGTTTTTCCATTAAAATGACAGTGAAGAACACATTGCTTCATAATTTCTGTTGCTACTTTGATTTTACATTATGGAAGGAAACTGCGGTTTCAAGAGTTTCACAGGTTTTGTTCCAATAACAGAATTCAACTTGCTTATCATTAAAAAATGTTTTAAAGTATTTCTGTAATAATTTGCAGCACTTACTACATGAGTGATTTTCAAGGTATCACCATCAAATCTGCACAAGCTTGCACTATCTTCAAGAAAAGCATCACATTCTTCTAATTCTTGAGCATTACAAGGTGGGTTTTCCTTCTCAGGGTTTGGATTCTGAAACAAAAAGACAACAATACACACTGAAAATCCAAGCTACTGAATACATATATAAAAATATCCTTTCATAACAAAAAAGATCAACAGAACATGAAGAATTATTTGCATATACTTAAAGATCAAGCTACTACGTACTTAAACCAAATGAATGGAACAATTTTTGTTATGAAGGACAGCATGAGTAGTAGGTAATACAAAAATCAATTTCAGTTCAAGGAAAGTCATATATGCCACTAAAACATAGACAATGAATTCCCTTCTGTAAGTAGCAAAAGTATACAATCCTGAAAACCTACACAGGTTTATTAAGTTTACATCAGTGTAAGCTTCTTTCAGCTTGCCACTGGAAATGCTATTAAAAAAGTCATGTTGTAGGTACCTCTAAATACATACCTCTTTTTCACTTTGCTAATAATTATTTAAAATTAATACCTTTTTATGCATATTTTTAATGCACTCAAACCAAGAAAGAAGCACATGTATTTTTTCACATCCCACAAGTTGAAAAAAGGAAAACCCATGACTTTTACTACTAATTAAAGGGTAAGAACACAACTACATAGAGAAACAGCCTACTTCTGCTAATGACATATTGGATAATTTTCGAAACAACCACGTTTTCAAAACAACTAGGTTACCTTTGTGATCTATTTCAAGAACTAATTTCTTGATAACAGAAAGGGACCTTTATTTAACAGAAGGCAAAAATATACACTTCCTCATCAAGTATGAGTTCATGTTGCTTCTTGTCCAGGAAATAAGACCCCATCTAGACAACTAATATAAGCTGAAATCTGAAGCCTAACAGAATGTGTATGGGAAGATCAGAGATGGCACTGACTCAATTCATCTGACAGGGAGTTCTTGAGTTCCTATGCTCATTTCTTCCTCCACTTCAGCTGATTATTAACTTTTTATTTTAGTTCAGTTCACAAAGTGAGGGAGATCACCACAATTTTTTTTAATTGCTAAACAATTTAAATCCAAAGAAAACAAAGATGAAGATAATAAAGAAATGTCTTTAAATGGCAGAAACCAGAAAAAATTAAATGTCATATACAGCAGGCTAACACACAAGACTTAAAACAGGGAATCTGTCTCTTTGGAGGCTAGATTTCGGGGGTCAGCTCTCCTCTATCAACATTCTTGATGGCCCCTGGTTTCCTGTTTCACTGGGTAGCTTTTTAAAAAACCTTCCCAGGTAAATATCATTACCACAAGCAATTTGAGGTCCAAAAAGAATCTATGCTTTTATTATACGTGCGTAGCTAAAGTTGCAGAAAATATACAACATTTATGTAAATGAACCTATGACTATTTTTTTTTTACATGATCATTATTGCAAACAAGCTGAAAAGTTGTGACAAAAAAATAATTACCATCACTTTAAGCTCAGTATGAGTTACAAAGAAAACAAATGTGAAGTTCCCAGTTAAGTCTCTGGTCTAAAGACGTACTACAGTAGTATCTTACCCATAAATAGTGAGGGAGACAGAGAAATCAATTTAGAGCACTCAACAGAATTTATTTTAATAACACTTTTCAGCCTTATTAAAAAAAAGTAATAATCCAGAAGCAATATATCAAGGCCCACAGGGAGTCACACTTCACAAGTTTTAGATGAGATGCCATTTTCTATTTAAACCAAAAGTGAAAGTATCAAGCAAGCAGCAGTTAAAAATTACATTTTAATTTAAATCTCCCTGTATAACAATAATGCCAGAAAGTTCATGAATCATACTTCTGCCTTCATAAAGTTTTCCTTTCAAAAATGTCATCTGCCTTCACAGCCTGTAAGTCAACTACAGTATCCCTAGGAAGACAGTATAAAAGTGTTGCTAACCTATTGATAAACAAGAAACAGACATCCTTCAAAATCACTTAAATCAACCTTAAAAAAAGCTGCCACACTGTAAGTGATGGGAACAAAATTTATTTTCAATACTAAATCAATTCTCTCGTTTTGGTGCACAGACACTATCACGGAAGCTAAATTCAGTCCCCCATGAGCATACTGCTGTTCAAAGTATATTCACAACTCAAGTGCCATTACATTAACAACTTCAGTTAAAAATGAATGCAGTTAGGATTCTGAACAGTAACTGAACCAATAAGCTATGTTAATGAAGTGCAAATAACGATATCAAAAGACAACATGCAAATGTACAAGAATTACAAGTGTTTTATTTTCAACTCCTTACCATTACTTCAGAGGTAAGATGCATCAGGCTTTCAGATATTTCAGAGCATTGTGAAGAGTCCATAATGAATTCCCCTCTTGTGTCACCAACTATTAGCCCTGGCCACCGGGGTCCCTCATTTTTCTTAATTAGAGAAATTTCCAAACTAAAATGCAAATAGAAGACAAAGAGTACTAATGAAAACACTGCATCCAGTTCTCAGACTAATAATCAAAAAGCTCTAAATACAGATTTGAGCACTCCAAACTGAGTTAATAATGAAAATCATATAACAAAATCATTAGTATTCACTTTATAAAACAAACTATTCTAATGGAAAATATTCTAAAGGAAAACAGACCAAGGACACATGATTTCTAAAAGCCTAAGAATAAAGACACTGTATTCATGCAAGTGTCCCTAAGAGTTTTTGATGTAGATGTAGTTTTCCCTGAAGCAGTCTTATTAAAATATTTTAAATATTACAAGGAGATGTCCTGTAAAGAAATCTGTTCAAAGAGTGACAGTTTATTTGAAACCCAAGTACTACTTAACAGGGCTACTTAAGTATGAACCACCTTCATAAAACATCTAGGACAAAACCACTAGTATTTTACAGGCATCAAATACTACAATAATTTATTATCTACACTGCGTATCTAAAATCATGTCTCAGAAGATACAATTTATGTAACCTGCAAAACAAGCCAACAACAAACTTAGGAGAACCTGGTATGAATGTTAGGAATAACTAACTAAACAAACAGAAAACAAGAGACAGAGCCCAATGCATCAATACAGCAATTCCATTTAATTACTGCATCAGACCAACAGATGGATATAACAATAGAATGTTAGTTTTATTATATTCACTTCTAGATATACTCATAGGGCCTACAATGACAGTCTGTCACCTGACAGAAAAGGGAAACCTTCTAAGTTATTAATTACTACATTGCAGCAATAACTATTCAGTGAATGCTGAATCAAGTTTCTGAGGCAGTTGCACTGGTATTAGAAGCAGCATACTTCTACAGAAGATACCTGGAGGAAGTTTTATTCTTTTAATCAACAGATTTAAAGTGGTACTGCAGTACCAACATTAAGAATCAAATGCAATTTATTACATTGAAATGTGTATTTACTGTTTTCCATTAAAACAGAAGCCTGATATTCATGCATCGCTCACTTGACTAAGTAATAAAAAAAGAGAATTACTCAGCTGAGTTATTTTTCACTATGATACCTAATACTCAAGAACTGAAAAGTCATATTTTAGTATACAGTATTAGTATAAGCTATATACTAATATTAATCCCTCTAATTCTTTCGGACATTTGCTATCAATAGGAAGACTAAACCCCATATACAACACCTTTTGTTCTCTCTAATTATCCATGTGCAGCTTTCGTGGTCCACAGATGAATACAGTTTTCCTTCCATCAGGGGAGGCTGATCTTTCAGTATAACACATATGTTATCTGGGGAAAAGCGTACTTTTATGTCATCCTTACTGATGTCTTCAGGAATGTGCACTGTTATTGTAACATCATCTTCAGTCTGCTGCCAGTAATAGAGAGGGTCTGCAATTGGAAAGATGCAGAATAATACAAACTAGATTACAAATGCTGTCCTGGATTCCAGTGTGCAATACTAGAAGATACAAAATAGAAGTTTGTGAAGAGTGGAAATTAACTTTTACTCTGAACAACTGTCCTGGGTTCCGCTGTAGCAGTCATTTTTCTCCTTCTCAGTAGCTCGTGCAGTGCTGTGTTTTTGACTTTCAGCCTGGGAACAGCGCTGATAACACCGATTTTTTTAGCTGCTGCTCAGTAATGTTTATTCTGACCAAGGACCTTCTGAGTCTCATGCTCTGCCAGGGAGGAGGGGAAACCGGGAGGAAGCAGAGACAGGACACCTGACCCAAACTAACCAAAGAGGTATTCCATACCACAGCACATCATGCTCACTTTATAAACTGGGAGCAGTTACCCAGAAGGGTTAGATCACCGCTCAGGTTGGGCTGGGTATCGGTCGGTGAGTGGTGAGCAGTTGTATTCTCTTCCCTTGTCAGTTTGCTTATTATTATTATTATTGGTGGCAGCAGCAGTGGTTTGTGTTATACCTTAGTTACTGGACTGTTCTTATCTCTACCCATGGGAGTTACATTCTTTTGATTCTCCTCCCCGTCCCTCTGGGAGAGGGGGAAGGAAAGGGGGGGGAGTGAGAGAGCGGCTGCATGGCTGACTGAATTTAAACCATGACAACAACTTACATAAAATATATTCTTATTATAAAATGGAGAAACAGTTTTTAGCAATCGAATTAATTTCTGTCCCTTTTCAGGAGAGCATTTTATACTCATGTCTATACTCAAACATGCTGACATGCTATATAATAAGCTATAACTCTAATTTTATTGTAGCATTACAAAATTGATAATCAAAATGTACTCGAAATACATTGAAACATTAATGATTAATAATTTGAAGAGATACGAGGTGCAGGGGTACTGACAAGCTACCGCATACTCAGAAGTATATGCCATTCAAAAATGTGAACATTTTTTCTTACCTATTTTGCCAGAAGCTACACTGACTATTCAACAGAAATAACTTTAGAAAACCAAATGGTCTTCATCTGCCTCAGCTGATGAAATAAAGCTGCCTGCCCAAGAGGTAACAACTGACTTCTGCTCCTGAGCATAGAATCCGTCTGATGTAGCAGTTTAATTATCAAGATAGACAAGAAGAGGACTTTTAAGAGAAACATTTATACAATAGGAAAGCGATGACAGCATTAACTGGGTAATGCACAGTTGGTCACAGAAAACACAAGATGCATTCATTTTCTAAGAAGCAATCTTGTACATGTTACCTTCCTATTTAGAAGAAAATTAAAGTATGGATAGACCCTTTAGATGCTCTTAAGTTACCACAAGACAAGATTTCACTGATCAGCATCAGCAACTCTGACCTTGGAAGGATTCTTACACTGCTGCCCCTTACCACAAATTTCATGTTTGCAATGGATCAGCCACACTTCCTAGAAACAATTAGTATCTGAGATAAGACAACCTTCAAAATTCTAAACTTTGACACAGATTACATAAAATACTAAAAGTTTTGATTTATGAGACAACTGAATTGCACCTAAAAAGTAGCTCAGACTTCTCACCTCTCTTAAATAGGTATTAAAACTTTCCCCTGAACTAGGAGTTCAGGTTTCAGTACTTTCTGTACCATTAGATTTCTGTGCCACAAGAAATTTTCTACAGGTACTGCTGCAAGCAGTATTCCATATTACAGGTATCTGGGCTTTAGCAACACTGTATGTGCGCAGCACAGCTCATTTCACGCATGTGTAAGAGCCATACAGAGCTCTTTACTGTGTTTCTTTAATCACACCTACCACACAACTCAAGCCCTTAAAATCCTTAAAACACTGAACTAACTAATTCAGGTGACAACTGCAGAGACACTGCATTATGGTCCTCAGTGCACTGAAGAACTCCTTTGCCTCAAGATTTATACCTACAGACTATTCCTATTACATGTACAATGTCACAGTTGTCACACCGTGCAACATTTATACATTCCAGAAAATAGATCTTTTTATATTGTTTCCAAACAGATTTTTGCACCATGGACAAAGATTGTGCCAGTATCACTCACTTAGGATTGGCTCATTAACTAATAATGCCTCATATTCAGAAGCAAAATCAAATCTGAAATGACAGAGCTACATAAATATATATATTACAGAGCTCAGTGATAATTATGATAAACCAACTTTATTAATAAGGTTTTATTTCATTTTGCTTTGATCTTAAAGGAAAAAAAGCATGGATAATTTTTGTTGAAGTTTATTATTTTTTCCTGAACTGCTTTTTCACTGGAGAAATGAATCTTTTACAGGATTCTCATTCTTTAAAAAAGTTTGAGTTTTTCTTTTGTTTTGTTTCAGGTTTTCTGTTTGTTTGCTTAGCTTTTGGTTTTGTTGTTTTTTTTTTTAGGGGGGAAGGGAATCTAACCCAAGAGACAGAGCAGCCTATCACAATCTGCCAGGTAAGTCTTACCTTTCTTTTCCTTTGTTGCTTCTGCATCATCATTTTCTTCTGATTTGTTGTCTTCACCTTGCATAAATTTGAATGGTTTGTAGGAAACAATCATTAAACCATCCCCACTTGGCTCTATTGCTGCATAATGGGGGACTGATTTTCCTTGCAAAACTCTCCTTTTCAAGATTTCATATCTGTGATCACCTATAGAATAAATTAAAAAAATATCCTACTGGTAATATTTTTCTAGATGGCAAATTATTATACAAGAATCTCATTACACTGAAATATACCAACCAAACCTACCAATTAATTCACAGTACTGTAGTTTAAAAAGAAATTTCTCTTCTGTTTTCCAATGAGTTTGTTAAATATGTAGACCCTAAAATTAATCTAACTAATCTAAAAGAACAGAACATTGCCCCTTTTTCTTATGAGGTCTTTGTTAATCACAGCTAAAACCAGCAATTAACAAAACCACCCACAGCCTCTGCACAAACAAATTTTCCAAATACTCGTTTTGTTCCATTCTTCACTGTGAGGCCCTGACACAGGTTACCCAGAGAGGCTGTGGCTGCCTCATCCCTGGTAGTGTTCAAGGCCAGGCTGGACAAGGCCTTGAGCAACCTGCTCTGCTGGAAGGTGTCCCCACTTGTAGCAGGGTGTTGGAATTAGATGAGCTTTAAGGCCCCTTCCAACCCAAACCATTCGGTGATAATTTCTGAGCTGTTAGAACCGGAACAGCAGTGATACGCTAGTGATAACACTTTATTCATAATGGAAAACGCCCATGCCCATCTTTTTCAACTTTAGCAAAACACTGCCCTTTAAAAGGTCCCAGATATTAGCTACTGGCATCAAGGACCATGCCATTCCCTACTGTGCACCAAAGCTCATGAGTACTGATGACTCAAAACACCATGAAGAGGGCAGGTTCCAGCACAATGTTTGTTCTTTTTCCATTAGAATCCTACTACCCACAGAGTCCTCAGTAATTGATCAACTTCTGAATAATAACCAGATGGCACTAATGGATTTTTAGCAAAAAACAACTTCATTAAATTCTCACAAGTGATAAAATTATCCCTAGGAATTATTTAGTTTTTCATGTTTATGCTTCATCTCTTCATTAAAAAAAAAATATCACTGCACTTGTAAATACAATTTTACTTGAACTTGTAACTCACTAGGACAAGAACAGATTACGATGATAGAAATCATCTATGACACCAGCACTCAAAAGTATGTTCCTGTTTGACCTCAATGTTAAGCTTAAAAGAAACATGGAAGTCGTAGAATACAGATAATAATGGAAAAGCCAGATGCAACTTATGTCTTCTCAGCTGGTTATCTTGTTTACTAAGCAAGCAGGGTGGAGAGTAACAACCAAACTATAACATAATTCTGGTACTTAATGGTGCTAGGGCCCCCCTCCTTCTCCTAAGATGTTAGGGCACGGCAGGCGTATTAATTAAAGAGATTCAACCATCCAATTAGTTAGAGATCTATACAACCAGGAGACTCCAAGCAACAGAGTAACCTGCTTTAAAAGATTAACATATTACTTTGTCTTAGATATATGACGAAAGAGAACATGTCTTTGCTGTAGTGGGAAGTTAGCCACTCATTATACGAGCTGTTATTTGACCGAATTTAACTGTGTACTGAAACACGTCAAAATTGTTTGTGTCTCTTGCAGCACATGCTCACTTGTTAAAAGGCATCACAACCTCTCAACTTGACATTGTGTGACCAAACCTCTTGTGGAGCATTTTCAAACAACCTCCAACACTTCCAATTTTTTTTAAGTAAGTCTTTGTCACCTTTTGGGTAAGTTCACAGTAAATGATTTTTCCTGTAAAGAAGGTCAGAAGGAAGCTAAGCATTTAGCTTTTTGTTTTTTCTTAGACTTCTAAGACAAAAACTAAAAGCATGATTTATTATTTTTAAAAACATTAGTCGCCAGTAATATAAATGTAAAAGACTTACCCTCTTTGCTTATCTCTGCAATTGTAACCCATTCCAAGGTAATATGAAATCCACTTCCTTTTGTGTCCAATTCATCTTTTTCTACCCTAAGCAGCAGCACAGCTACTGAATGAGTATCAGATTTTACAAATGAAACACTGTGTGTGATAGTAAATGGATTTCCTAGTTCTTCATTAAACACAATCTAGAAGACAAAAGTGTAGTATAAAGTCAGTTAGTTAAAACTGGAAGTCTTGCTCTTTCTCAGAAAGCAGTGAAAGGCTCCAATGAACGTCAAACCAGTTAAACCTTGCTTCCCACAAACCACACTGGCAGAGAAATTATTACTGCTTATATTATAATATCATTAGATGGGCCATTAAACAAAGCATAAAGAAAACACCTACATTATGGCTGTTTACTACAATAAGTAGAGATACAACTGACAAACAGAACAGGATCCATAAACACAGCATATCAACCGGGGGAAACAGTCTCACATGAAAGATGTAGGCATGTCACCAAGGCCTTCACCCCTTCTCTAGGCACCCCAACATCCTGAAAATCTCTGTAGAACTTGACATGTGCAAACAAGAAGATAAAAAGGTCCAGTGCATTGGCTGCCAGTGTTTAACCATCAACCACTACTGAGGGGACAAGGGCTCTCTTTATTTAGCTACTATCTTTACAAATAGATTCAGTTTTCCTTCTCTATAAAGTTGAAAGGGAGTAAGAAACAAAAACCTATAATGAAATGAAGGAGTATAATATTCATGCACAGAAGAAGGTAGGGTTGTAAGTTTTTAATTTTTTATGTATACCATTTTAAAAAGTCCACCCAGTATTTGGATGGGACTAGGTGGGCAGAGTACAGAAATATGTCATATTGAAAGGTTAATAAACACCACTGTAAATATTAAAAAAATAATCACAGAAGAGGACTGCACATCTTGTAGTTTGAGAGATTCAGCAATTGGTATCTCCAGCTAGAAGTTTTAATTCTAGAAACGATGTATTTCAGCCTTTCTCAAAACCAGTACTTATTCATCAAAACCCCCAAGAACATAAAAATGAAATGAATCCAGGCAGCAAAGAAGAAGAAACAAAATATTGGCACATGAAACAAAAGAAAAAAATGACAAGGAATCAACCTAGTTGATTCTATGATTCTCTGAATTCAAACTGCAGTGGCTGAACAATTATAGGCTCAATCCAGCTGCTGTTACTGAAACCAGGTAAGGTCTGAGGATTTATGGGGTTGGGATGCTAACATCACTCTAAACCACTGGGTGCTATACGTACTCAAAAAGTTAATTTCAAGGCTGACAGAACCTCAGCATATGAATCTCATGTTTTTTTTAGCACTGGTAAGTCCAATGCCACTTATGTATGCACCAGCATTCTCATAGAACAGTATAAAAAACAGCTGGTATTTATTACCAACCATATACAGAACAGGATGACGAATTTTCTAGTTACTCAACTCTCAAAAGGTGTAGGAGAAGGAGCTAATCCATCATGCTGAAATCTTCCACTTCAGGACATATATCTGAGTTCCTGCCAGTATTAAAACCTCCTTGACTATTTCAGAAGCTGCCCTCTAACAGAGAAAATAGATGTGAAATGTGCCAGATTTATACCACATTCATCTTTCATGAATAAATAGGAACTAACCACAGACCAAGACAGTCACAGTAGCTCAGACAGAAATGTAACTTAAATTACATTTGCTGTGTTCAGGCAGAATAACCAATACCATTATCAGTGTAGGAAGATCACAAAATCACTTCAAGACCCTTTCAAATAATTAATTATGTAATGAATTTAATCATAAGAAATCAGATGCAATCTTAACAACTTGAAAAACAATTTTAAGTGAAAATATTCAGTACCAATAATCTTCCAGAGCTAAGTGCATAAACCAGAAATCTCCTAACTTAAAAATGAACATGGCTTTTAGCTTGGTTGATAATAATTTCAGCCTTTAAAAATATTGTATATTATTCCACAGGTCAGTTGAAATAGCAAACAATAAAAAATAGGGGGGGTAGAATCCTAAACAGGCATATAAACGGGTAAGGGAAAGAGGAAACAGCGTTTAGAAAAAGTTCCAACTAGACAAGCACTTAGCCACCTATGCAGAGACACTTTTAGTTAGATTTTTCATTCAGTCAAAACGTTCCCTTTCCAACACTTGCATTTTAGCTACTTTGTGCATAAAAAACTCATTCTGTCATTATTCACTGAACACAATCCTGTATCAGTGATAAAGTTATGATTTAAAGCTTAATTCTTCACATTACATACATACAATTCTCATTAGAAATGCAAGAGTAAGAATGATTTGGTAGATGTACAATTCTTAAATATGTTATTGCAAGACTTACCTCCCACTTTTCAGATGTACTGTTTCCACGCTTGCCTGATTTAATTAAATACAGTCTTCCTGTACCATCAGAAAGGGTAACCCATGTGGAAGATGAGAAGTGTATTGAGGCACAAAGGCGATTATCATAAGCTGTCAAATCTGTAGGCAGCCGGAAAACTTCTCTTGGTTTTTGTAGAGCAGTGTCCTGTAAGGGAACAGTCACCTGCTAAGATTTTATGAAGCATTTATCAATTTCAGTAACTGTTACAGTCAAATTAACAAATCTCAGTAACAACTCACCAGTTTCTTTGTGCAGTTGAGTATATTTGGAAAAACGGGGTAGCAAGCATCATTCCCATGTATGTGGGAAAAGTGGTGCGGTTTCATTATTGATTTCTATTTACTGAAAATACAAGTGTTCCATAGCTGATACTTCAGCATTCATTTTTTTTCTTTCCATTTTACAGCACTAGTTACTTAAAAAGGATTTTCACTACTTTTCCCCTAGCATTACATATAATCACCTACCTCAAATAATTCTAGTCCCAGTAAAAATGTGGAGACTTTAAAAGAAATAACAGCCACAGAACTGTATTCAAACTAGTTCATAAAAATTCACTTCTGAATTAAAAAGAATTTTAGCCTATTCTGTTATATATAATATCAGCAGAATATCAAGCTGATATATCATTTCTCAGCTTTCCTAGAGCAGCCATTTTATTAAGTCATTTTATTAACTGTGATTAGCTAACAAAGCTGTAATAACTCCTATCATATTTGCAAATAATTTTTCCATCACATTATGATTATCCTATGGAGTTAAATACAGTCAGCAGCCAGTCACAAGGGGTATTCTCCAGGGGGGCAGTACTGGGGACAGATCTGTTTAATATCTTTATTGATGATCTGGAAGAGGGGATCAAGTGCACTCTCATTAAGTTTGCAAACAACACCAAGTTGGGTGGAAGTGTTGATCTGCTGTAGGGCAGGAAGGCTCTGGAGATGGATCTGGTCAGGCTGGATCAATGGACTACGGCCAATGGTATGAGGTTCAACAATGCTCAGGGCCAGGTTCTGCACTGCGGTCACAACAATCCCATGCAATGCTACAGCCCTGGGGAAGAGTGGCTGCAAAGCTGTTTGGCACAAAAGGACCTGGGGGTGCTGACTGACAAAGCGAAACATGAGCCAGCTTGTGCCCAGGTGGCCAAGAAGGCCAACAGCATCCTGGCTTGTATCAGAAACAGCAGGGCCAGGGAAGCGATCACCCCCCTGTACTCAGCACTGGTGGGGCCACACCTGGAATACTGTGTTAAGTTTTGGGCCCCTCAATACAAGAGAGACATTGAGGTGCCAGAGCACATCCAAAGAAGGGCAATGAAGCTGGTGAAGGGTCTGGAGTAGAAGTCTAAAGCGGGAGCAACTGAGGGAACTGGGGTTGTTTAGCCTGGAGAAAAGGAGGTTCAGGGGAGACCTTCTCACTCTCTATGCGTAAGGAGATTGTAGCAAGGTGGGTGTCAGTCTTTTCACCCAAGTAACAAGCAATAGTACAAGAGGAAATGGCCTCAAGTTGCACTGGGGGAGTTTTAGATTAGATGTTAGGAAAAATTTCTTCACCAAAAAGGTTACTGAGCATTGGAACAGGCTGCCAAGGAAGTGGTGGAGTCATCATCCTTGGGGATATTTAAAAGACGTGTAGATGTGGTGCTTCGGGACATGGTTTAGTGGTGGACTTGGCAGTGCTGGGATAACAGCTGGACTCAACTTTAAAGGTCTTTTCCAACCTAAAAAATCCTGTGATTCTACTATGCATCAAGATAAATATATCATGCTCTATCAGTGGCACACTGCAATCTTATTTTTTAAGCTAAACTGCAAGCATGGATTGTTTTTGAGCATGAAGAGAGAGACTACAGCAAACATGACAAAAAATAATATATAACACTGATTTTCTTCTTTTCATAAAGGGAAAAAAGCCCCCAACAAAACATAAAGATAAATCCAGTATTTCCTGCAGTATAAACTTTACACAAATCAGGCTGATTGCATAATAGTGCAAAATTACTAATGTCATCTATATCACCAGTTCTCAGAAGTCCTGCTTTAGTTCTATGTTGCCTTCTTCATTGCCTGCTAATTCTAGCAGAAGAAACTGCTTTTGTGCTGTAAAATGGATTTCCAACTGTTGTCATTAAGTACAAAGGCATGTCTTCCAGGACATATTTTAGGGATTATACTTTATCTTCTGCCTTCACTCTCACATCCCTTCTTTGTCGCTTAAGGCTTTGTAACTCTCTGCTATTTGGCTTGCAGAATGCCAGCAATGCCACTGCCTGCAAAGGACTACAATTTACCTGCCTTTTGTGAGTTAAAGTAATCTCTGAATGTCCAAAAGGTTTGTTAGGAAAAAAACCCCGAACAAATATTTATGATTCATGAAGAACTCGGCACTGCAGTTTAAAAAATGGTCAGGACATGCTTTATCAGCAATTCAGCTTGATTTACCTATAAAGTAGATCAGGCTGCAGTATTAAGAGTACAAACAAAATATTCTTAAAGAAAAACACAAGATGCAGACTGCAGATTCAGCAACATCAGTCACATCTCTATAATCTTTCAAAAAGCTGAAATAGAACTTAATTGCTTGAAGTTTTTCAACTGAACTAAGCAGCTGCCAAATAAAATGGGCTCACAGTCTGTCACGAGAGGGGTCCGCCACAGATTCATTCCAAGCCCCATCCTGTTCAACATCCTCATAAATTACCTGGATGAAGAAATTGAAAGCACCCTCACCATATTTGCTGATGACAGCAAACTAGGTGATGGGGTGGACAGACATGTCTTGCACAGAGACACAGATAGCCCGGAAGAGTGGAGTAGCAAGAACATTGTGAAGATAGAGAAAGGCAAGGTGCTGCACCTAGTACAGAATAACTAAAGAGCCGAGAGCCAGCCAGGATCTGTGTGGCTGCAGAGCAGCCTTGCTAAAAGGGACTGGAGTGTACTGGTGGACAGCAAGCTGAACATGAGCAAGCAGTGCACTGGTGCAGCAACATGGGCAAAGTTGCTAAGCCACTGTCCAACATATTTGAAAGATCATGGCAGTCAGGTGAAGTTCCCAACAACTGGAAAAGGGAAATATAACCCCCATTTTAAAGAAGGGAAAAATGGATGACCCAGGAAATTACAAACGAGTCAGTCTCACCTCTGTGCCTGGGAAAATCTTGGAGCACATTCTCATGAAAGGCATGCTAAAGCATACGTAAAACAACAAGGTGCTTGGTGACAGCCAGCATGGCTTCACTAAGGGGAAATCCTGCCTGACCAATTTGGTGGCCTTCTATGATGGGGCTACAGAACTGATGGACAGGGGTAGAGCAGTTGATGTCATCTACCTGGATTTGTGCAAAGCGTTCAACACTGTCCCACACGACATCCTTGTCTCTAAATAGGAGAGACATCAATTTGATGGATGGACCACTCGGTGGATAAAGAACTGGCTGGATGGCCGCATGCAAAGAGTTGTGGTCAATGGCTCAATGTCCGGCTGGAGACCAGTAACGAATGGTGTCCCTCAGGGATCCACACTGGGACCGGTCTTGTTCAACATCTTTGTTGCCGACATGGACAGTGGGATTGAGTGCACCCTCAGTGAGTTTGCCGATGCCACAAGCTGTGTGGTTCAGTTGATATGCTGGAGGGAAGGAATGCCATCCAGAAGGACCCTGACACACTTGTGAGGTGGGCTGATGCCAACCTCATGAAGTTTAACCATGCCAAGTGCAAGATCCTACACTGGGTCAGAGCAATCCCAGGCACAGCTACAGGTTGGGCAGAGAACAGATTCAGAGCAGCCCTGCGGAGAAGGACTTGGGGGTGTTGGTTGATGAGAAAATGAACATGCGCCGGCAGTGTGCGCTCACAGCTCAGACAAGCCAACCATATCCTGGGCTGCACCAAAAGGAGCGTGACTAGCAGGTCGGAGGAGGTGATCCTGCCCCTCCACTCTGCTCTTGTGAGACCTCACTTGGAATACTGTGTGCAGTTCTGGTGTCCTCCACATAAAAAGGACAAGGAACTGTTGGAACAAGTCCAGAGAAGGGCCACGAGGATGATCAGGGGACTGGAGCACCTCCGTATGAAGACACGCTGAGAAAGTTGGGGCTGTTCAGCCTGGAAAAGAGAAGGCTGCGTGGAGACCTCATAGCAGCCTTCCAATATCTGAAGGGGGGCTATAATGATGCTGGGACTCTTCGCTAGGGACTGTAGTGACAGGACAATGGGTAATGGGTTAAAACTTAAACAGGGGAAGTTTAGATTAGATATAAGGAAGAAATTCTTTTCTGTTAGGGTGGTGAGGCACTGGAATGGGTTGCCCAGGGAGGTTGTGAATGCTCCATCCCTGGCAGCGCTCAAGGCCAGGTTGGACAAAACCTTGGGTGGCATGGTTTAGTGTGAGGTGTCCCTGCCCATGGCATGGGGGTTGTAACTAGATGATCTTAAGGTCCTTTCCAACCCTGACTATTCTATCATTCTAAATCGGGTCTGAAGCTGCATCTGCAGGGGCATTACTAGTAGAGACAGAGACATGATCATCCCACTCTGGTCAGTGCTTGTCAGGCCACACCTGGAGTACAGTGTCCAGTTCAGGTCCCCACAACTGAAAACGTACACAGAATGGAAAGGGTGCAAAGAAAGGCCATGAAGACAGTCAAAGGGCTGGAGAACCTGCCCTATGAGGCAAGACCAGAGGACTTAGGTATTGTCTCCCTGGAGGAGACTCAGGGGGTACCTCATGACAGTAGTCCAGTACTTAAACAGTGGCTACAAATAGGTCTGAGGCATTCCCTTCACAAGTCACAGAGAAGACAAGGGTTAATGGGTAAAAGTTGCACCAGGAGAGGTTTCAACTCAGCAGAATTTTTACAGTGAGAACCACCAATGACTGGAACAGCCTCTCCAAGTACATGGCAGAGTTCCCATCACTGGAGGCCTAAGGTACTAGATAATCTCATCCAGATTTCCCATGAAAGGTTGTAACCTATTCTCTTTTGTAGTCCCTTTGAACCTGGGCTGTTTAATGACACTAAAACGAATAGCGGATACTAACAACATAATTCAAACAAACAAAAAAATCCACTACCTTGCCCTTTATACTGATTCATAGACTTCAGAATCTGAGCTCAGGTCTCCAGAAACATCTTCCAGTAATAACAAACAAAACTAATTTCTGTTGTTTCTGTTCTGTATCTTAAAGAAACATGTCTCCTGATGTCATGGTCCTTTCCCCTCATCTTGCAGTTAATTTTATTTATATACACATATATAATAAATGAAACAAAATTAGCTTCAACAGGTTTCGGCAGATACTTTGCAGACTAGCATACCTCCATATATTTGGACAAATAAACAGTTATATCTGGAAAAAAAAGTGCCTGACTAGCCTTTACAGATCAACATTTCCCTTTTTAAATCTAATCTACCTTCTTAATAGACTATGTTGAGAACATAACTAATGGTCACAGAGCCAAACTGTTTTTAGCTTTATTTTACTGGGTTCATTTCCACTCACTTGATCTACAATTATTTTAAAGGCCCACAAACCAGAAAACTCTTGCTTAAAAATGAGGAAATTCTTTCCTTGTTACTAAAAATCAGCATTAGTGTCACTAAAATTGAAATATATTTAAGTTGAAATAGATCTCTAAAACAGAAAAACAGCATGTGAAGGAAAAATATTACAGGAACAGATTTGAAGGAAGATGTTTACAAACATGTAAAAAGAAGCACTAACAGAAGCATATTATTATACCGAAAACTGGGGTGGGGGAGACAAGAATTCATCTATTCTGTGCCACACAAAATGCACTTTCTTACTACAGTAAGGGTGGGCATGAGACTAAGAAATAGCAGTGAAAAAAATACCAGATTAAACCAGCAACTCATCACAGGCCCTGAAATTTCAGATGCAAATAATTACAGTACTTTCTAAGCATCTCCTGTCCTTCCATTTTCACTTGGTCAATGGACAGGTTGGGGGTGGGAAATCATCTCTACACATACCTACTTCCAGAAAAAGAAACTCGCTCATTCTGATTTATGAAATAAGGCAAAAATATACATATAAAACACCATCTTTAAAAGAGTTCTTTGCACTTCAGCACATATATGCTTTGCAAAAAGAGCACACTTGTGCTTGCAGAGCATGCCAGGACCTCATTTGTTGAGAATCCTGTATTTGAGCGGATTTCAAATCCTTCGTATTTTCCAGATGTTATTAAAATCATATGCATTTAAAACATGTTCAAGTGTAAGCAAGAGGAATTGGATTTGGCTAAGTACCATTTTAATAACCAAGAGCAAGAATGAGCAGATGACAAGCAGATAGCCTGCTTGCCGTTTGGGCCTACTTGAATTCATATTAGAGATTACTGTATACTCCAAAAAGGCACAAGGGCTGTTATGAAACCTGCAATGGAAAAGATGCAGATTTGATTTTTAATTACTGAAAACATTCAGGGTCACTCTGCAGATCTGGTTGAATCACTGTGCTCCTTGAACTATTCCACTAATTTATAACACATACAGGAAGGCAGAACGAAAGTACTGAACAAACACACCCCAACAAACCAAACAATCAAAAAATCCCCAACCCAACAACAAGCCCACAACACAAACAAACCAAACAAAAATCCCACAATTAAGGTTTCATCGAAAGGAAGTGTTCTCTACAATAACTGCTCCATTGTAACTAGCCATGACTTTGGTGCCTAGAGAAAGAAATAGTAACAAATTTCATGCATCTGATCATGGAAAGAAGCACCACCATCCCTCTTAACAATGATCTACAGGGCTATACTCTGTAGCATTAGAGAAGAACACACTTCTATCAGCTTTCAAGTGAATCTTAATAGTAAGCTTCAAATAGCTTTGTATGTAATTAAAAATCAAGCATCAACCATTTACTCTTCTAAAGCTCACATCAGATTTATCAGTACTAAACAGGAATGTCAAGACTCTTATCTCCTGAAATAAGTGAAAAATAATCTTCATTACACATTACAAAGTCACCCTCTCAATAAGCAAGAAAGAAAATGCTCTTTTCAAAATGTTTCTGATCACTAATTTCACTTCAGGCATTTATTAGAACAGTCTCTTACCTCAGTTTGACAACAAAAAGGATGAAGGATGGACTGTCTTGAACCAGGAACACAACCTGCCCTCAAAACCCTTCTGTATCAGATTTGCTCTTTGACTTGCTGTTTCTCTATGCACCACCTGGTTAACAACATTCAGTAGTAACCCCTTACTATATGAGGGGATGATGAGATACTACAGTCATGTATTACATTAGCAAGAACTGACTAAAAGAACTGTAGTCATTTTACCAGAAGTCAGGTTTCCTCACTGTAATTATGTTTAAGTGAGAGCAACACAGTTTCTTTAAGAAGAAACTAGATGCAGCTTCTTGTCAATCCAGTTCTCCAACTCCTTCCACTTCTCCAGGGAGGTTCTTCCTTTGTTTAACTATTTTTTACTCTCAAGTGACAAGGTATTACCTATTCTTTTTGCCTTCACAGAAAACATCTTCTGAAACACCTAAGTTGCAGGGATAAGTCATGATTTATGGACAACTAACACACTGCCATATCAGAATCAAAGTTGCAACCAAAACAGGAAGTAGAACTAGAAATAAGTATGTGTTAAAAAGCCTATGTCTTCTTTCACTTTGAATTTAGGATAAGCATGTTAAACTGTTATATCTTCTGTTTTAAAGACGAGTGACATTAACTTTAACTGTGGCCATTGCTAACTTGTAAGTTATTCTTGGCTGAAAACAGTATTATTATTTGCAATACACATTTGCCTAACATATGGCCAGGCACATTTGTAATGAGACACCTTGTTGATGTTTCTGAAAACACCCTCCTTTTTATGTACATGCAAACACATCTTGCAAAACAGGCTGCATTGTGCATTAGGGCACAGAACGGCAGCTATTTATTTCACAGTAGGGTGGAACTGAAACTCGTGACTAGATAAACCAGGTGCCATTTTCCTGAAGACTACAACAGCCCCACTAGTCCTAGGGAAGAATATTTATTATTTCAATTTACTGACATAAAAATGCAAATTACTGCCTGTTTTAAAATCCTTCATCTAGTAAAATCCTTTATCTGCTAAGAAAGAAATCTGCACGCCTTAGTGCCCTCCTAGTAATGGAATGAATTGGGGTGTCTGTGTTGGGGTGGCAGGGGCAAGCTGCAGAGGTGACCTCTGTGGGAACAGAACAGGGCTGCCCTGTGCTGCACATGGCTGCTTCCAACCCCAAGAGGACCACAGTGGGGCAGATATTCCCCCACAGCCCATGAAAAGCCCAAGCCCAGCTCCCGGTAGGAGCTTTGTGTGACTTTGTTTCCCATCATCCTACTCCAGGTTTTTTTTGGCAATAGATTAATTTAATTTCCCCAAGGTATAGTCTGTTTTGCCTGTGATGGCAATTGGTAAGTGATCTTCCTGCTTTTATCTCAATCCACAATTTTTCTGTTTTATCTTCTCATTGGCTTGTTGAAGAGGGACCACAGAGAATGTCTGGGTGCATGTCTGGTTGTGAGGCAGGGTTAACCAACCACAAAAAAAAAGCACAAAAAAAATGATGCTGTGACAAGCCACGCTTCACAGGAGGCTTTCCTTTACAAGCTTCTTTCTTTTAGACATTCCTACTGGGAAACCAGATAGCTCAAAAGATTTGGAAGAAATCCCAGAAGATTATTCTGTCTTGGCAAGAGTCTGCCAAAGGCTCCAACTGCTTCTACATTCCATGAAAAATAAAGGAACTGTTCTGCAGCTTCAGTTTTCCATCTAACATCCTTTGGAAACCTCTACTTCCTGAAAAGTCCAGAACTACCACTTCTGGATTTTCTCAGCTTGGCCTTGGACTAATAATATCCACCCCAAAACCCTTCACAGAGTAAGCCATGCTCTCTCAAACTATCACAGATCTCCCTGTGGTTTTTGTCCCGCAGGGTTACAAGTCAAATTTCTTGGTAGCATGAGAGTAGATATTTTCCTTTCCAGTCTTTTATTCCTTAATGACCAAATACTACAATTGCATGTACCAGAAACATGGTGCCTATCACCTCCAGAATGTGTCCTTTCACCTCCAGAATGAAGAATAGCTCTGTACCGCAAACTAGTGCCTCAGTGCATTAAAATGGCTCAAAAGAAACAAAGTTTTACTACTTAAGAACATGAGTACAAAAGCAGAGAACTGTCATGTTTTTCCAAACGTGGCTAGCTTGCTTGCACAATTTCAAGTTTGCTCAAGGCCACCAGCATCTTTTTGCCTCCAACAAGCAATGCCAAGAGTAAGCTATTAGCCCATAAGGGCCTGCATTTCTAATTCTAATCCATATAGCTTCTTTCTCTCCTTGTATCTACAATGTCAGGATTTTCACATTAGCAAACAAACATTAAGTAGCATAGGGGAGAAATGTCAGCAACTAGAAAAGAAGTGTCTACTCTTTCTTCTGCTTGTCACTATGTTTATCTTCCCCACATTGGAAGCAGATGACTGGAAGCACTACTGCAATACTAATGCAATACTATTAATGAAAGTATGTCAGAAACCTCACTTTAAATCCTTTCATCCTTCCTGGTGAACAGCACTTGTGTTAATCTACCTATGTTCCTGGCAGTAGCTTCCCCCAGTTTTTGCATTCAGCTCCTACCTGCTGTATTTTCTATCCTATCTCCCACCTTTTCAAATTCAGTAATTTTTTAATAAAGTTTATTCTTACCAGAGTCACTGACAGATTCATAATCCTTCCAAACTGATCAACATAGTAGACACTATCCTGGTACCAGGAATCAAGATGTAGATAATTATACATGCCAAAAGCACGCACGTGGTCAAGGGTATACTGATCATCACGAAGCTTCACTTCTGCTACAGCTGGTGGAGGTAAAAATAAAAAAAAAAATAATAAAAAAAAACTATTTAAACATTTATTTATCATGTAATAGTTGACAGTTCAAACATAACTTAAGAATGATTCTTCCATCCTTTGTCGATAGGTGTGGCTTATTTGACTAAAAATACATTATGCATATATAGTTTAAAATTTCACCATAAACTTGGAAAGCAGGTCAACCTCACTGAAGGCCAGTGCAGCCATTCACTGAGACCATGCAGTAACTATAACCATTAGTGGCCCATGGTGGTGGGCTCATCCTGCTCAGACACCAGATGCCCACCAAAGCCGCTCTGTCACTGCCTTCCTCAGCTGGACAAGGGGGAGAAAATGTAACAAAACCTTCATGCATCAAGAAAAGGACAGAGAGAGATCACTCAACGATTACCGTCATGGCCAAAACAGACTTGACTTGTGGAAATTAGTTTAATTTATTACCAGTCAAATCAGAGCATGATAAAGAGAAGTAAAACCAAATTTTACACTTTCCCAAACTCCTCCTTTCTGCCCAGGCTCAACTTCACTCCTGATTTACTCTACCTCCTGCCCCCACCTGTGGCACAGGGGGATAGGGAATGGGGGTTGTGATCAGTTCACCACATGTCATTTCTGCTGCTCCTTCTTTCCAGGAGAGAACTCCTCACACTCTTCACCTGCTCCAGCATGGAGTCTCTCCCACAAGAAACAGAATCATAAAACAGTTAGGGTGGGAAAGGACCTTAAGTTCTTCATTAACTTCTCCAAATGGAGTCCTTTCCACAAGCTGCAGCTCTTCATGAACTGCTCAAGCATGGGTCCCCTTCCATGGGTACAGTCCTTTAGACACGAACTGCTCCAGAGTGGGTCCCCCTTGTGGTCACAGCTCATGCCAGAAACCTGCTCCAGCACAGGCTCCTCTCTCCATGGGGCTGCAGGTCCTGCCAGGAGCCTGATCCAGTGAAGGTTTGGGACCTCCACGGGGTGCAGAGGCACAGCCTGCCTCACCATGATCTGCACTACGGGCTGCAGGGGAATCTCTGCTCTGGTGCCTGGGGCACCTCCTGCCCTCCTCCTCCACTGACCTTGCTGTCTGCAGAGCTGTTTCTCACACATATTCTCACTCCTCTCTCCAGCTGCAATTGCTCCTGTGCAGTAACATTTTCCCTTCTTAAATGTATTATCCCAGACACACTACCATCATCACTGATGGGCTCGGCCTTGGTCAGGGCTGGGTCTGTCTTGGAGCAGACTGGCACTGGATCTATTGGAGATGGGGGAAGCTTCTGGCAGCTTCTCAACAGAAGCCACCCCTGAAATAGCCAAAGTGCCACCAAAATTTCCAACTAAGCTTTTTCTGACTGAAAGAAGCTGAAACACTGGCTGTTCGCTATTACAGTACCTTCTTCAAGGCAAGAAGCTTGCTACCTGTGCTCATCCACTTGAGGAAGATTTTTCCAAACAGAAAACCTCTCCTCAGCTGCCAGTAATCAGAACTGGTCTTACCTAAGACAAGCCAAGTTTTTATTTAACCTATGCAGCTTTTTCTTCCTATTCCATACCTAGAGATCAGCTGCAGTTTCAACATCTAAAAATATAGAAAATCATCAAATTTTAGCCAAGACATCAGTAGGAGTCTAGTCCATCCTTCTGCAAGTAGTCTCAGACAGACTGGAACCCCGGTTCACTCTCCAGTACCGTCAACAACCCAGGATCCTTAGCTTCCTTGCAGGAAGTTTATCTTGAACTTCACACAGGTAAAATCCTTTAGACAGTTTTAAGTAAACTCTGTCAGTCCATGACGATTAGCCTCTAAAACCAGAGTATGGGGAAAGCACCTCAAGGTTAATCCTTCTCACAGCAACAGTTACTTTAATTCCTACTATTTTAGCTTCCACTTTCTTCTCTTTTCTGCTCAAAACCAGAGCAAAGCTATTTCCAGTATTTCACTTCCATCCATACTCGTATCAGGGGCCATTCACAACTCTATGTAGCAGTCCCCATCTTGGACCTCTTATGCTCTTTAGCATCTACTTAAAACCTACTGAAGAACCAGCAGTTTCCTCTGCTCTGCCAGAACACCAGTTACAGCAACAGCAGATCATTTTGCAGTGCAATCAGTGCCACTGCATAGCTGTCACAAAACCATCCATCAGACAGTCACTAGATGGCTCAGTGAAAACTGACCCCACCAGAGACATGGGCTGTTAACGTAAAAGTGACTACAGGAAACTGTGCAAGATTATACTGTCTGATTAATAAAAATACCCAGTCACACTATGCAAAATGAGAGTATAATTAGCAATTAGTCTTCTAATCACTGTTGATATTTGCAAGCCAACAGTATTAATTCCACTCAGCTCAAATCATTATTCACATTCACCACACAGGAGGGATTTCTATACACCTCCAATAAATAAATTACTGTTCCCTTGAAGAGCCAAGGCCCTTCAAAACAAGCTAGAATATCCACAAAGGAGACAGAAGAAAATGCATCTTTCATAGTGGGAAAGACTGCTACCCATTCCAATTCCTACTTTAAATAATTAGAATATTTTACAGTAAATTACACTAAAAGAAATTTACATTACAGTAAAAGAGATTAGAAGGATATGTTTGTTGTGAAAAATGTTTTTAAAGCTGTTTGTACAATCAAGCTTTATCACAGAGATATTTTTTCTAACATGACATGAGATGATGTGAATATTCTGCAAGCAATTAAAGACAAAATCAAATATAATCCAGGGTAATTGTTTCCAGTGAAACCAAGTACATGTCATCTACTTCCTGTATAGTTACATTAACTGTTCTTCTGAAATTAAACACACATGCGGAAGCATGTAAAGCTTTTTTAACACAGAAAACCTAAAACTGTCTTACTTCAGAAGGCTTTTCTTCTCCACTTCTCCCTCCTCACCCCCCTAGACATGCTGCTGTCAGAATTGCAACTGAAACACATAGTGAACATTCCAAATTAGATGGTTCCTGAAGCAAATGTACAACCTGTCAAGAAAATTATTGGAACAATACACTACTGGTTAGCTGACTGTAATGTGATGAGCTTTATAACCATGAATAAAGTTTTTGGCCTTGAGTTTTTCAGCCTGTAGTGCTGACACACCCTGAATAACAAGGGATCAGGAATACTGCACAATTGCAACATTGAATTAATTCTTCAGAAACAGGAGTCAGGAACTATACAATATATGGGCAATTTTAAACCAGGAACTCAAACAAATCTGTACTGTACTGTCATAAAACACTTTAAATAAGGTTATCAATTGCTTGCAAAATGTATCCTGTATATATAGCTCTCTGCCAAGGAGAAATAATTACAGTAACTATTCCATCCTCAATTAATTGAAATCCATTCTGTGATCAAGTGAAGTGTGTGCACAAATGCCATCTGCTATCACATACCATGTGCTCAAATAGTTTATAGGAGATTTTACACTAGGATGAAGTTCATTCCTTCCTTTCTACAGCCTTCCAGGTTCAAGTTTTCTTGATGGTCCTTGGAAAAATGAAGAGAAAATCAACAGAGCTGAGTGCAGAATAATAAAGCACAAAAGAGAGAAGAAACAGAGACTTTTAATAAAGCAAATTCAGGAAAAAGAGAAGTTAATCTAAATGGAAAAGAAGAAATACTTCAATCAGATCACCACCTTATTCAGTCACACAGTTTTGCCTGGTTTTGTTTGGTCAGGATTTTTTTGCCGATTTTTGCTTTTGTTAGGTTTATGGTAGGGTTTGTTGTATGGGTTGTTCTGTGCACTTTGTTTGGGGTGTTTTGGTGTGTTTTTTGGGGGGACGGTTTGTTTGTTTAAGAGTCTAGCACTGGGCTCTTCATTTTTTGGAGGCTCAATTAACAAGCAGCAATTAATGACAGCTACTCAACAGAATGATACATGGTCTCCTTCAACTTTGATAAATCTGCACTACTAAAACCCAGGAACATTGATTCATACTCTGTCATACCCAAAAAGAGACCAAATATACAGAATGTATAAATTATATCCCATCTTTCAATATTATTTCTCAATAACGCTGATAGGTGGGATATTTCAGACTAGTACAAAGAAAATGATGCCACTTTTCTAGAATTGTATTTATCTCCCGTTTCATGCTTGAAAAAGTAATTTGACTCAAAATAGTTCAAAGATAATTAAGCAAAGAGTTTCATGCCATGTCACCTTTACCTAAAAGAAAAAGCACTAAATGGAAAGGAACTCATAAGAATCAACAGGAGTGAGACATCTCTGACCTAAGTGGATTTTATTATAATTATTACTCTGCAGCGAAAAAAAAAAGCTCCTCTGAATAAAGAACACTATCAAGGGACTATAAATAAATAGAGAAGTCTTATATCTGCCATCAAACATGATTCAGCAGAACTGAAAAAAAAAAAAAAAAGGAAAACTAGTGAGGAACACCCCCTCCATCCCCCATTTTTAGATGTTTCACTGAATACATCAAAACACCTTTACAATACTGGAAAATATGTAAAATAATTATAACAACATACTATTTTGGTGCACTGAATGTTATATGCTTGTATGTCATAGTTTGACCTGCAATGCCACCCAGTGGCAGTAATTCAGTATTTCATATAAATTTATATCCTCGTGGAAGAGCTTAATTTATTTTCTAGTATAAGCATCCAAAGATCTTTTTAACCCTGTACTCTTTTTCCTTTAATATCAACAAATATCCTTTTATACATAACGGCAGCATCATCTCATTGCTGCTGTTCAGTAAAAGTACAAGGCTTGGTTATTCTACTGCAGTACCTTAACAGACTAAACACAAAATGTTCCTGTTTTAATAAACACCTAGCTTGCTGAAAACAAGCACAGGCTGACAGATACTCTGTAATGAAGTATTTTTCCCTAATCACATTACTTACACAAGCATTGGAAGTAAATATGATCTATCACACAAAAAAAAAATGGAACAAATAAATTGAACAAGATCCAAAAGCTTGCAAGACATTTGTGAAAGTATCAGTACAGCTGATAGTATAGTGAACTACAGCTATGGCTCACAGTTTCTTAGTATTTCTCATATATAGAAGACTTTTATTCTATAATTTTTTCAAATGGACATGGAAAACACAAATGGAAACTGCTATAAATGTTTGAAATATATCAGTATCTTTGGCTTCATAAAGACACAAATTATATTCATGTGGTATTAGTAAGACAACTACTTTTCACTCAAGCAGAGTGAATGGGCAACTGTGTTTCACAGAAGTAGAGACCTTTTGGTCCTAACAGGCTGCAAGCAGAGCAGGCATTCATTAATACCATTTTTTTTATTTTTAGAAGTGACAAAAACCCATAAATGCACATAATCGAAGGAATGTACTCTCTGCATGTTCTCCTGGCTTGCAACAGGAGCTCCACGTTTGAGTGAATGTTTACTATGCCTTTCAGCTGTTATGGTATGATCATAGAATAGTTTGGGTTAGAAGTGACTTTCAAAGGAGGTGCTCCATCCCTCTGATCATTTTTGTGGCCCTTCTCTGGACCCTCTCCAACAGGTCTGTGTCTTTCCTGTACTGAGGCTCCAGAGCTGAATGCAGTACTGCAGGTGAGGCATGGTGTATGTTTTTTGATATAACAGTTCTGCCAAATAGAAAAAATAGAGAGGAAAGGCATGAGGGAAACCCACAACTGAGTAACTTCTAAGCCTCTGATAAAAAAAGGAATCAAGTTACATCTGATCAGTGGAAGTCAAGAGTGAGGTTTTCATTCCTCTAAAAACTACATGCATCTTAGACATGGTTCTTGTTGGAGACAATCTGCCCCACAGCCACTGACTGCTCTGGGATCTGTTGAGTTCAGATCAGGGCAGAAGAGGTGACTGTAAACAAGACATTCTTTCTACCCTCTCAAAGATTCAGTGGTTTAAAAGAAAGGCCATACAAAGCTCAGTGCAAAGGAATCACTAGGAAATAAGTTATGAAAATAAATTGAGGAAAATAAAAATACACAAAACTTAGGATAAAGAGTTTGGAATTAAACATATAACAGTGTGGGACTCATTACTAGTTAAAACATGCTCTCAGGATGAGAGAGAGTAATGACTGTGAAAGTTTAGATTAATTAGGACAGAATAGGCAGGAGTAAAGAAGAAATAAAAGATGAACATGCAAATCCCAGTATTTAAAAGGGAACGTAAGATCCCAGAATTTCACCATTCATCCCTGTGACCTTATATTTAAGATATTCACTAGAAAATTCCCCTCTAGCACAGATCTAACAAAATAAATATATTAAATAAATGTTTTAAAATTCTTTCTGCTGCACGTCTGACCACAGCAAATTCCTGGCAACTGCAGTTTTACAGTTAAAGGCAAACTGGAACTGAATACTAACTTTTACACAATGGTCAGAAAATGAAGCTCACTGTAGCCCCCAGGAGCATGACAACCAACACAAATTGTCCTGCAGTACCATGTGTTGCCATCCATCTGCTCCAGTAGGACAAACCTGCATCAACTCCATGCGCCAATTTCTTTCAGCCATTTTAGCTTACAGCTAGCAGTGAAATTCATAAAAATGGTTAAATATAAAAACATAGATGAAATATCAAAGATTAATACCCTAATGCTTAATATGCAAGTTTGTATTAACACTGCATAAATACTTCAACTGAGTTAATTCAGTTCTACTTAAGAATAAGTACCTATTTCTATTTATTATCATATATTCAAAGCACTTTAAAGCTCACATGCTCATCTTACTGCCATGAAATTTGGGATGCCACACAGGCAGAACTCCAAATCTCAGGTCATTTGAGACAAGGATTCCTGAACTCAGTTCCTGGAAAACAAACAAAAAATTCAACAGCCTTTTTACACTAATCTTCCATATACTATCACTGCATTTTCCACACAGTTGTGAATAAAATCAGAAATCATGCTGACAGTTTTCCTAAACATGTGACATTTATTTCAGCTACTGTACTTTGCTCACTCTCACTCTGAGGAAATTGAAACTCTTCACTCAGTGACAAATATTAATTTAATGACACACAAACTACCAAGTTCTTCATTATGTTCCTCAGACTTCTAATCTGCTCACAATGTGCTGGAAAGCACAAGTCCTTGGCCTTCTAACACAGTATTAACTTATCTCTTGCAGTAATTTGAAAAAGCCATGGCCTACACACCACCCACTGTTTCTACAACTCAACCCATTATTCCTGCATAACATAAAACTCAAGTTGTGAAAGGATGCCCTCAGTTTCATGCATACATATTAGACAAGAAACACAAAGTTCAGGTACAGAACATCCCTGTATTGTGAAAAAACTGCCTTGGAGTAAGAAAAAAACAGCAAGGAGATAGCGCCAGCTGTACGGCCTAAGAACAGGCTGAAATATAGATAAAACATTGAGAAAACAGGTATCTGGGCCTCTGTGCTGTGGGAATTGGAGAATGGCACACATACCAATCTTCTGTCACACAGGTTACTGAAGCTATTACATAAAATATCTGAATAGACAAGAACTGGTTAGATACATTTCTCCGTTGGCGACTCCATCATTCAAGAAGTTCAATAAGAATCTGTAAACCGCACCTACTGAGAACAGCTGCACAACTGACTACCCAAGAACCACAGAGCTTATCTAACCACAGGCAGAGTACCAAATAAAGGGCAAACTAAGAGGCTGTACCTACACCACACTAACTGCTGTCATCTTAGACATAGCTGTAATACACTCCTAACACACATTCACTAACTCATATTTGGACTGTCTTTTGAAAGGGGACACCTAAATTAGTCTTACAGTAAAAAATGTCAAAGCATATAACAAAAATGTTACTCTTTTTGAATCTTCCAGTCCTATGACAGACGCACACAGTATCACCTCACGTTCATTCACTCCTGCAATATACAGTTCACATACAGCTTCACATTCTGCCACAATTCACCATGGCAAACACACCTTTCTGATCCACTACTAATACCATGTATTTAACACAAACCAAAGTAACAAGTAACAGCTAGCTCTGTAGACAGGCACATAAATCAGCAGACATACAGAGGTAGAGATCAGTCCACCCGAATTGTATATTACTGTCTCAGAAAAGTAATTCATCCACCAACAAAGCCCATACCTTTATTTAGGTCTTTTTGTAGGTGGATGAGAGATTTCAGGGGGCATGGCTAAGGTCGTAAGCACATTTCCAACATCACTTTGTGCTAACATTCTTCTCAGCAAATTAGCCCATTAATGGCCCAGTACCTCAAATGTTACTCATAACAGCAGAAAAAGCAGAGCACGAAATAAACAACCCTTAGATCCTCATCTGAACGGCTGGCAGAGCAAGAAAGTAAAAACGGTAACTGCTGAGGTCTGTAAGAGATACTGATTTTATACATACTTCTATAAATCACCTGCAATCCATCACCCTCACATGTACCCTGCCATTATGAACACTACTGCCTATGTACAAGGCAAAGCCAGATTTATCACACAGATTTCCTTACTCATTTAGAAACTCAGTTCAAACTCACAGGGGCAGGCCATTGTAATGCAGTCGTGTGACAACAGCCTGAGACCTTGGTCCACCACGGAGCTGGGTGAACACGGGGGGACGACACCAAAGACAACGGTGCAGCCAATTCTAACGAGAGAAACCAAGAGGAAACGCCAGGTATGCCAACCACCGGCTGTTCCGACCCAGAACAGGCGCGTAGGCCGCCCGGCGCAGAACGCCGGGCTGCCCCCATCTTAGGGCACGCCTGCAACGAGGGCCGCTGGGCCTCTCAGCGGAGCACTGCAGGAGGACCCCCCAGGCCACAGGGCGAAGGGGAGGCCGGCGGTCTCACCCGCCCATCCGCGCCGTGCCGCACCGCCCCACTCCTCACCCGCGTCGAGCTCCAGCTGGTAGCAGGCCAGCGGCTCTAGGGACAGCTTGTAACCCTCGAACTTGGGGTCCAGGAGCAGGCGCTTGGCCTGCAGAGAGCAGTGAGCCGCCATGCCGCGACACCAAGAACAGCTCGGCGAACACGCGGGAGCCGCCGCGCAGCACCACTGGGCCGGGACCGGGGGGCATGCCGGGAGCTGTAGTCCTCAGCCGCACTTCCTGTCGGCTCCCGAGAGCGAGGTGCTCCACCTCCTGCCGCCGGGGCCTGGCTGTGCCGAGCTGCGGAGGGGTGAGCCGGTGGCGACGGATTGTGGCCTGCTGGGGCCTTGCCCCGTGCTCGCAGTTCCGACTCGGCCGCGGGGGGAGCCCGGGCGGGCGAGAGAGGCGCGGACTGGGGGAAGGGAGAGGGGTGAGGAAGGACGGGATGCGGGGAGGCCGCGCCCGCTTCAGCGGCTCGGTTAGCTACCGGCGCCCCAGAGCTGGGCGGCCTGGCCCGGCGGGTGCTGTTCTGGTGCTGATTCCGGGGCTCCCTCGGTCGTTAGCAGTGGGGATGGGTCGTTAGCAGCGGTCGCGGTGCTGCCTCTAACTGTGAGTGACTTTCCTTTTGTTGTGTTAGTGACACGGATGGTGGTCAGCCCCTCTTCTGCTCCCAGTCGTTTGTGAAAAACCGGGACTTCCAACATGAACAAAGATGCCCAGATGAGAGCAACCATTAACCAAAAGCTAATAGAAACAGGAGAGCGAGAACGGTAAGCAGGCTTCTGTTTCCTTGCCACCATGAAGCTAAAAATACCATCGAACATAAGACACTCCTAGAAGTAAAGATTAAGTAAACTTAACGCTAAATCCTGCAAATACCTGCATGTGAAAGCCATATGTATTATGTAAAGCTGTATTAAAAATCTTTTATTTTTGTCTTTTGAGCAGTTTTCTGTTAGTTTTTCACTTGAAAAGGGGAGATAGGAAAATAAAGGAGGGGGTGGTTGGCTTATGAACTCTTAAACTTATTCTTAAACTCGTACTCTTAGTTTTTTCTTACTCTGGCACTTTTTCAGAGTATCACAGTATGCTAGAGATTGGAAGGGACCTCAAAAGATCATCTAGTCCAATCCCCCTGCCGGAGCAGGAACACCTAGATAATGTTACACAGGAATGTGTCCAGGCAAGTTTTGAATGTCTCCAGGGAAGGAGACTCCACAACCTCCCTGGGCAGCCTGTTCCAGTGTTCCGTCACCCTCACTGAGAAGAAGTTTCTTCTCAAGTTTAAGTGGAACCTCTTGTGTTCTAGTTTGTAGCCATTACCCCTTGTCCTATCATTGTTTGCCACTGAATAGAGCCTGGCTCGTGACACTCCCCCTTTATATATTTATAGACACTAATAAGGTCACCCCTCAGTCTCCTCTAAACTATAGAGACCCAGCTCCCTCAGTCTTTCCGCATAAGGGAGATGCTCCACTCCCTTAATCATCTTTGTTGCCCTGCGCTGGACTCTCTCCAGCAGGTCCCTGTCCTTCTTGAACTGAGGGGCCCAGAACTGGACACAATATTCCAGATGCGGTCTTACCAGGACAGAGGAGAGGGGAAAGAGGACCTCTCTCGACCTACTAACCACCCCCTTTCTAATACACCCCAGGATGCCCTTGGCCTTCTTGGCCACAAGGGCACAGTGTTGGCTCATGGTCATCCTGTCGTCCACTAGGACCCCCAGGTCCCTCTCCCCTACACTGCTCTCTAACAGGCCGTTCCCCAACCTATACTGGAACTTGTGGTTGTTCCTGCCCAGATGCAGGAGTCTACACTTTCCCTTGTTATATTTCATCAAGTTATTCCCTGCCCAACTCTCCAGCCTGTCCAGGTCTCGCTGGATGGCAGCACAGCCTTCTGGCATGTCAGCCTCTCTTCCCAGCTTAGTGTCATCAGCAAACTTGCTGATAGTACACTCAATTCCCTCATCTAAATCATTGATGAATATATTAAATAATACCGGTCCCAGTACTGACCCTTGAGGCACTCCACTAGTTACAAGCCTCCAACTAGACTCAGCCCCATAGACTACAACTCTCTGGCTTCTCTCCTTCAGCCAGTTCACAGTCCACCTCACTACCTGATCATCCAGTCCACACTTCCTCAATTTAGCTGTGAGGATGCTGTGGGAGACTGTGTCAAATGCTTTGCTGAAGTCAAGGTAGACCACATCCACCGCTCTGCCATCATCCATCCACCGTGTTATTTCCTCATAAAAGGCTAAGAGATTGGTCAAGCATGATTTCCCCTTGGTGAAGCCATGTTGACTGTCCCTCATAACCCTCTTATCCTTGATATGCCTTAAGATGGCACCAAGGATAAGGTGTTCCATCACTTTCCCAGGGATGGAGGTGAGGCTGACCGGTCTACAGTTACCCAGGTCCTCCTCCTTGCCCTTTTTGAAGACTGGAGTGACATTTGCTTTCCTCCAGTCCTCAGGCACCTCTCCCGTTTCCCAAGACTTGGTAAAGATGATGGAGAGTGGTCTAGCAATGACTTCCGCCAGTTCCCTCAGCACCCGCGGGTGCATCCCATCTGGACCCATGGATTTATGGATGTCCAGACTGCTCAACTGGTCTCTAACCCATTCCTCATCGACTAAGGCAAACCGCTCCGTCGACCTGACTTCATCTAACGTCTCAGGGGTAGAGGGCTCTTCAGGACTGCCTGCAGCAGAGTAGACAGAGACAAAGAAGGCATTCAGTAACTCTGTCATCTCTGTATCTTCTGTCACCAGGGCACCCATCCCGTTCATCAGTGGGCCTACATTGCCTCTGATGTTAGTTTTATCTGCCATGTATTGGAAAAGCTCTTTTTGCTGTCCTTGACCCTTCTTGCCAGGTTTAATTCTAAGGAGGCCTTAGTCATCCTAGCTGCCTTCCTACATCCTCTAGCAGCAGCCTTATATTCCTCCCAAGTGGCCAGCCCCTCCTTCCATGACCTGTAAACTCTCCTCTTCCACTTGAGCATACCCAGCAATTCCCTATTTAGCCACGCAGGTCTCCTGGCCCTCTTCCTTGACTTCCTACGTGTCGGGATGCTCTGATCTTGAGCTCAGAAAAAGCAATCCTTGAATGCCAACCAACTATCTTGGCCCCTTTACCTTCAAACAGCCTTGCCTTCAAACAGCTTTTTTGTTTTAAAGCTCTTGGTTCTTATAAAAATCACCATTAAATGCACTTGTTGCAGTCAAATCTTGTTATTTCCTGATAATGAGACAAAGCTTCCCTGTTTGATTTTCTCCTGTGTACTTGTCTCTTGTTAGGGAAATAAATATGCAACAGAACACATAAAACAGAACTTGTGCAAGTCATTCTAGGGATCCCAATAAAGGTAGACAAGTGAATTATGCAGTGTGGTGTGGCAGCTAGGTTTTGGCCTTTTCTGTCTCTTAAGTCTGTTTTATTTGCATTATAGTTACATATCATTAGCAAACTTATAAATAGTTTGGGTTGGAAGGGACCTTCAAAGCTCATCCAGTCCAGCCCTCTGCAATGAGCAGGGACATCTTTAAATAATCAGGTTGTCCAGAATCACATCCAGCCTGGCCTTGAATGTCTCTGTGGATGGCACATCCACCACCTCTCTGGGAAACCTGTGCCAGTATTTTAACACCTTCCTTGTAAAAACTTCTGTCACACATCTAGCCTGAATCTCCCTCTTTTAATTTAAAACCACCTCTCATCCTATCACAATGTCTCCTGTTAAAATGTCTCTCCCCAGCTTTCCTATAGGCCCCTTTAAAGAACTGAAAGGCCACAATAGGGTCTCCCTGAAGCTTCTCCAGGATGAACAACCCCAAATCTCTCGGCCTTTCCTCATAGGAGAGGTGCTCTGTCCCTCTGATCATTTCTGTGGACTTTCTCTGGACCCTCTCCAACAGGTTCATGTCTTTCCTGTGCTAAGAACTACAGAGCTGCACACAGTACTCTCTGTGGTGTCTCAGCAGAGTAGAAGGGGGAGAATCATCTCCCTTGACCCGCTGGCCATGCATCCTCATCATCATTTCACTATACTCATAACACCATGCACCAAAAGCTCCATTTCCTTTATTTCTCAAGGCCTGTATGAGAAGGAGTCTTCTCCCTAGGTCATCGCATAGCCCTGTGCCCAGTGTAACCTTTCACAGACATGGTGTCTACACTGTGCTCCTTTCCTGGTTGTGACCATCCCATTGGAGATTGCACAGAGCTTCAGCAGAGCAAACAATTTCTTGAAATGGTATTGGGAACTATTTTAGTCTAACAGTGAGAAGAGTTTTGTCAGGACATCAAAAGCTGTATTATAAGCAAGTTTTATCAGAGCCTTTCTATGATCAGTACTAATTTTCACTTTCGTAGCTAGCTTTCAGTATTCTTTATTGATATATGGAGTAGATGTATCATTGCAGCAGATTGTTGTAAGTCTTGTCCATTTTAACGCCTGAATCCTTTTTGCTTATGCTTGTAATTGCTAACCACATTAGGAAGATACACGGTCCCTTTGTCTTCACCCAACATGAGCTAAAGCGTAACTGGGAAGAGAAACCTGCTGTTGAAAACAGATGTATGGAATTCTTCTTTTAGAAGGGAAGAGGGAAGGTTTCCTTTGAAGGCCTGTTTTTAGGTGAAATATTTTAACTTTTAAAGTTAGCATACGTATGCTAACAGAGTAGACCTGAGCAGTTCAAGTGACTCAAGGGCTTCTGCCTCTTTTCTGTGGCTGCAGCATCAATGCTGCCTGAAAGAAATACTGTGAAATTAGCTTCTGAGCAGCCAACTCCTCTCAGTCCAACATGGTAAACTGAAATTAATATTCAGGTTAGGGTTCACATGCTGTTCAGCTGTTTCCGCTGGGAGTTCTGTTGTGGGCAGGAATTGTAGACTTAATTGTCATCCTGAAACATAGTTAAGCTGTCAGCAATGTTTGCTGTTCCTAACAGGTTTGTATATTGTCTTAACAGCCTTAAAGAGTTGCTTAGAGCCAAATTAATCGAATGCGGCTGGAAGGATCAGCTGAAGGCACATTGCAAAGGTAACAGGGGTCAAATAACTAATATCCTTTGTAATCAACTGAGGTTCTGGCCAAGTAAAAGTCCCAGATGAAGGCTTTGCTGTGTAACACTCAATTTAAATAAGACATGGGCAAGAGGAAGGTATCCCTGGCAATTGGTTTTGCATGCAAGAAAGCAGCTTGCCATCTTGGACACTTCTTTTCTGATCTGAACCTTCTTAAGTGCAGGAGGAAAATTCTTGGAATTGATTCCCTACATATTCATGATGATACAGCTTTTTGTTTTGAGAAAGATGACTTCCTTACCACTGGAGAATAAAAAACAAGATAGAAGAAGATGGAGCAAATACAGTGATATGCAACTTAACAGCTTGAAAGAACTCTGTTTGCACATGGGAGACGAAGTACATTTGTACTCTTTCAAACTACAGTTCTTGAAAGTAAGATCATCTACTTAGATGAGAGAAAAGAAGCTGATGAACCTCTAGATACCTGAATCTTTAGTTCTGAGTTAAGTTTTGAGCATTGCTACAATTTACTGGCTTGTAAATTATATGAGATTTACAAATAGTATTTCAGCAACCAGGAATACTACCACATGATGAAATTTCCTTAAAGCAAATAACAAATCCCTGGAGTTTTTGCTTTAGTTCTGATTTGGTCTATTGTGCCCAGCTACTGAATATTCCATCACAAGGCTTTTCTTTTTATAGGGCTGAGTGTGTTAAATTGTTTTCATAGGTGGATTTGCAGAAAAGGCTGAAATGATCCATGCTGGCAGTTGTCTGCCTGATACCACTGCCAGAAGTATTTCAGTAGTACAGGTAGTGGAAGGGATGTTTATCTGCCTTCTCAACTTCATATACTCTGCTATAGGAAAGCTATGTAAAATGTTTGGTTTATATTGGTACTTTGAACTATAACTGCAAGCAGAAGTTTGTTTGTCCGTGTTAAGGGCCTAACAGCCTCCAAAGGAAAGGACAGAGAGGAATTGGGAAGGGGTGGGAGGGGGGGTCTGTTGTTGTTATTGTTGGGCTGGGGGTTTTGGGGTGGTTTTTGGTAGTTCATTCTAGAGCTTCTTGACATTGTGGGTTAAAGCCAATGTTGAGCAATCCAGGATTATCTTCAACAGGAAATTCAACCAAGAAAAACAGTTAACTAATAGTTCATGTGATGTCAGTTCAGAAAATGGATTTAGTGTCTTGAACAATCAGTCCTATGGATACAGTTAAAAACATTCACATTTCCACAAAAAAAAAATCAGGTTTATGCTGCTGATTGGAAGTTTCTTCTCAGCATTGACTTTGCATCTTTAGGTCTTCACGGTACTATAAGTAGGCAGTTGTTTAAATGCTGGTATGCGTTAATCATACAGCATATCTTAATCTGTCTTTTGCTGTAGATGCATATCTTCTTTCAGAGATGCTTTTTTACTTTGTTGAAATATAGAGGTGTTATTTAAACCAATTAGGAGGAGTAGTGAGCATTTACTGTCTCTGTGTTCTCTCTTGCTGTATGTTACAAAGTCTTTTTCCAACTGCATCTCTTTCTCCCTATCATGTAAATAACGTGTTTGAAGAGATAAGTGCTACAACACTCAAGCAATACAGACACCTGGTAATGCTCAGATAAGCTTAAACTGTGTTGTGTTGGATTCTAAAACATGAGCTGATCAAGATGCATCAGTAATTCCAAGTTCGAATTGTTAAACCCATGGTATGAATGAGAGGCTAAATCCACTGTGCAATGCAGTAGGCACTGAGTTACATTTAGGTCACATGCTACTTTATATCCTCTGATGACCTACGTTTGCAGGTTTTGTCTCTTAATCTTTGGCATAGGTTTTGTCTTCTAATTAATGTGCTAAAAGACTTAAAAATATCATTCTTGGTCTTCCCCAGATGTTATTAAAGAAAAAGGATTAGAGCATGTTACTGTTGACGATTTGGTGGCAGAAATCACTCCCAAAGGCAGAGGTAAGAAAATGTAAACATGGATGTGTTAGGACATATAAATATGCCATTCTAAATGGGAAAAATATAGATGTGCTATGTAAGAATCAAGTAGCTTCAGTTACTTTCAGGTATTAACAGAATTGCAAGAACAAAAAAAAAAATAGCTGTTGTGAAAGGTCGGTATTAGCGTATTTTCCATGTTGTCCTGCTTTTTTACTTCTTGCTTTCTTATTTGTGTTTCAGCCTTGGTACCAGACAGTGTAAAGAAAGAACTCTTGCAAAGAATAAGAACCTTCCTTGCCCAGCATGCCAGTCTTTAACTTTGGCATTCACCTAGGATAGTGTTTCTGTATTATGTCAGTCATGTAAGGATTGGAATGCAGTTTACATACTTAAGGATGATGAGCTGAAGTTCCTTTGCACTGCATTGATTTCTTAAACTTGGTGTTATTTTAATAAAAAAAATTGTGGATTTGTGGTTCTAAGGCTCTTCTCTGTGTCAGTGCACAGTGATACGGCATCACCTGTTCCTGGTTTTAATAAGCCATAATGTTATATGGTTGTGCAGAATTAATCAAATTTTCAAAAAAAAGAAGTGAGGTCAATAAGCGTATGAGGTAGAAATACAGAAGGGAGAAAGAAGTCTGTGGAAAATGGGATATGACATACTACTGAGCGTATCCTTTCTAATTTTCCCTGAGTAAGTAGCTGGACGGCATGAAGAAGTTAAGACTACATGAAAAAGTTGGTGACATTCCTCCCAGTACTTCTTTGCTTTAGAGTGAGTGGTTTGAAGTCCACGATTTGTGTTGTAAGTAAGTATTCACACAGTAATTCATAAGAGGTTGAATTTTTCAAAGACAATTGTATCTCTTCACATTTACTTCAATTAGAGAGTCACTATTCTGATCCACAACTACTGTTTTCTAGCTTTGCCTGTGTTATTGGTAATTAAAAATTATGTTGATCTTTAGGGCCTTTTGAAATTTAATACAATCATTTGCCAACATTAAGTCTCTTTAAATTCTTTTATCGGTATCTGCAACATTAGCCAGCTCTATAAATGGCTGCAAAAATAAAGCTGATGAATAGAGAGAATTGGGAAAGGGGCTTTGAAGTGAGAACATTCAATTTTTGCCAGCTTCAATTTGAGGCCTTTGACAGATGATGAAGTGGAGGAGAAGCATGAGCAAAAACTGAGCAATTAGACACTGTCGTTACTTGGCCACTGTGAAAAGTTAATTGACTCAGTGTAAATCTCTATGCTCCTAATTACAAGAATACTCTCAAAACTGTCACTTAGAGTGGGGCTCAGGAAGTCATGCCTGCTCCCATGGATTTGTGGATTTCATTCCTCAGTCGTTGCTGCAAGCACTTCCCAAGGATCCTTCTGGGGGAACCAGTACCTCATGCATGGGGTGTACAATGCCTGTGCCTCCTGGTTCCTTGGCTGTGGATGAGAAAAATAATGTGCTCTGGTTCATAGCAAAGTGCTGGGTGCTCACTGGAAGGCAGGCTGTGAATGGGCTGAGCTCCCCCCTGCACAGGGATGGGACAGAACAGCAGTGCAGGGCTGTTGGTGCCAGGCTGCGAGTGTTCAGTTATTGTGTCTGCTCAGTCTGAGCTGGGCAACAGATGTGAGAGAAGAGTCCAGCAACAGCCGAAGGTGGTTATTGTTCCTCTGGCACTAGACAAAAGTTAGTCCAAACTGGGCAATACTGACTGTCAGTGAGTGGGACAAGACATAATCAGTCATGAACACCTTTTGTCTACACAAGACCAAGTTCCTGCTGAGACTGGAGCATGGAAGGAGCCAGAACTGGGATCTGTTGCAGGACAGATGCCCCTTCTGAGAACCTGTGCTGTGCTGTTTTAAAACTATCTTCCTGCCAGGTTGAGTGCATTTGCTGTATGTCATTGTCTTTGCTAAATAAAGGTGGATGTCAGAAAGAAGAAAATTCTTTCTTCCACTTAAAAATTCATTGTACTTTTAAAATGCTTATTTGCATTAATCCCAACCAGCAACTGAGCCCCGCACAGCCACTCACTCGCTCCCCTCGGTGAGATGTGGGAGAGAACCAGAAAGTTGAAAGTGAGAAACTCATGGGTTAATATAAAGGCAGTTTAACAGGTAAAGCACAAGCCCTACAATGCAAGCAAAGCAAAGCAAGGAATTCACTCACCGCTTCCCATGGGCAGGTAGGTGTTCAGCCATCTCCAGCAAAGCAGGGCTTCATCACGTGTAACAGTTACTTGGAAAGCCATCATTCTGAACTTCCCCCTGCCTCCTTCCCCCAGCTTTTCCTGCTGAGGATGACGCCATACAGTGTGGGATATCCCCTGGGTCAGCTGTCCCAGCTGTGTCCTCTCCCAGCTCTGTGTGCACCCACAGCCTACTTACTGGTGGGGTGAGGAGCAGAAAAGGCCTTGACTCTGTTAAGCACTGCTCAGCAGTAACTAAAGCATCTCTGCATTATCAACACTGTTCTCAGCACAAATCTAAAACATACTAGCTTCTGTGGAAAAAAACCAACCATACCCCAGTCAACATCAGCACAGTATGTTAATTCAAAGTTTGACTTCTGCAACTTCATTTGCAATGGGTGTGTTTTGTTTGAATTGCATATATGTATATTTATTCTTAGCTCTTCATTCTATAATCAATTTACCCAATGCTAGTAACTGATGGAATACAGAATGTTTCTTCACACAATGTAGCAGAATATACGCTAGCTGAGCATATGTTTAATATTTGGCAAGGCTGCAAAATATCTTCTGTATCCTTACTCTTTTAGTCTTAGTGGTCTTTAATGATGTTCTTGGACATCTTGTACATGACTAAAAGTCTTTGCTTGTTGAAAGGCTGCAGTGTCATGGGCATACAGTAACTTGCTCCAGAGCTTCCACTTGATTTCTTTCATTGTGTTGGGAGAGGTATTCAGACACAGAAATGCAGAAGGCTTGTTGTCTGATTAGTAAACATTTGAGATTCCATCTAGAACATGACAGATGAAGTGCAGTTGCTGTAAGTGAAGTGTAGTTCTCCCCTGTGGGCAGCTCATGCTTGTCGCAGAATAAAGACCAAATGCTGTATGAATTTGCAGAAAGTTGTGGTGACCAATATGAAGTTAAAGGTTTGACAAATAGGTCTTTCACATGCTTACAAAAATAAGTTGTGAAGTTATGCCCAGACTGGCTTAAAATGCAAAAGCATAAAGAGACCCCGAAGGAACAGCAGAGTGACTACGTTCCAGACACACAGCAGTGGCTCCTCTCCGAGGGTAACACAGGCTGCCCACTGATGTGAACATCCCAACACCACATGTTCCCACAGTTAACCACACCAATGCAACCCCCACTCAGAAGCTAGGCAAAAAGAATGTTTGACAACATGCAGATCCAAATTACACTGGCGTGGACTGGTAAGAGGCATCTTGATGGATCTTCTAAGACTAAAGTGAGATTTGGGGTGATATCAGAAATGGGAGATGGTTTCTAGAGGAATAAGTAAGTCCCCTTAGTGGCCTCATATTTTTGTTTTAACTGCAGATTTTATTCTCAGATGGACAGGGTAGCATTGTTTTGCAAACTGTTCTCTGAACAACTTCAGTTTCTACACATTTGGCTGAGTATTGAAAACAGTCATTAACATTCAGGATTCAGCCAGCACATTATTGTCCTGTTGAGGTTCTTTTCACACACTGAAATATATGATTATCTGTGCTGTTAAAGGTTCCGGAGCTACAGCATGTACAGACACAGATAGATGCATTAACTACTTCTTCAAACTTTCTGCATTTTCAGTGTCATGAAATACACCCATTCCTTACGAAAGCAGACAGCACCCAGAACTAGATAGCCAAGAAGAGACAGTTTAGGACTGATATGAATTACCTCAGCTGTGGGCAACTACTTCTTTTAGATGGTAGCCCTACATACACACTCTAGCAGCTGATTCAGCTTTTTCTTTTTGTAAACAAGCCTGTAAAAAATAGAATCTGTTTGTAAATTGATATTAAAATAATGGGTCAGTTAACAGCTGGGGTAAATTGGTATAGCTCTGGATGTGCACTAATCCAAACTGTATGTGACAGTGAATTGAATAGTCCTACTGCTGTCAATGAAAGACCAACAAAAAGAAGTTAGCTTAGCCTCCCCCTTTAGTCAGGCAGTGAGGTGTCTGAAATACACAATGAACTGGAACTGCTTAGATTCTAGTTTGTTTGATAACTATTTCCCCAGGAATACTTCTCCACGTTGACACAGTCCAGTCAAAAAACATTATAGTAACATCATCAAGAAATTCTGCTGGGATGTCAAACTTACACTCACATTTTAGATAGTTTTTCAATTGTTTGGGGGGGGGGCTGTGGGGAGTGGCTGGTGTTTTGTTTGTTTGGTTGTTGTTTGGGTTGGGATTTTTTTCCTATTCTATTTTTCCCCATTCTTCTTCATCCTTGTTTACTGCCACAGTATTTCAGAACAGGCCTTTATCACTTGGAGAACAAGTGTCTGAAGTCTGTTGTAATCCAGCAATAGTCTGTCAGTGATATTAAAAAGTTACTAATGGCTCTCAGAGCTTCTGTCTGGAAGGTCCGTTGGGGTGACAGCTCTGCACTACCTAGCCCATGTCCTCATCTTTTAGTTCACATAATGGAATATGTTTGATTTTACTTGATCATGTGTCATGGTTTAAATAAAGTCAGCCATAAATTACACAGTCGCTCTCTCACTCCCCTCCCCCCCCCTTCTTTCCCCCCACTCCTGGCGGGATGGGGAGGAGAATCAAAAAAAATGTAATACCCACAGGTTGAGATAAGAACAGTTTAGTTACTAAGGTATAACACAAATCACTGCTGCTACCACCAATAATAATAATAATGAAAAAGGAAATAACAAGGGAAGAGAATACAATACCACCTGCCGACCGATAATACCCAGCCCGATCAAGCACCAACAGATACGTAGTTCTGCCCCACGGTGAAATAGCCCTTCCGGGTAACTCCCAGTTACATCCTGGCATGACATGCTGTGCTATGGAATACCTCTTTGGCTAGTTTGGGTCAGGTGTCCTGTCTCTGCTTCCTCCCGGCTTCCCCTCTTCTCTGGCAGAGCGTGAGCCTCACAAAGTCCTTTGTCAGACTAAACATTTGAGCAGTAACTGAAAACATCGGTGTTATCAGCGCTGTCCCCAGGCCAAAAGTCAAAAACACAGCGCTGCACAAGCTACTAAGAAAGAGAAAAAATGACTGCTACTGCTAAACCCAGGACATTGTGGCACCTTGATAGTTTGGCTTTAACTTACTTAGTGATTGAGCTTTTATGGGAGCAATGGAAAATATCCAATGCTTTTACCTGCTGGCTTTCTTTAAATTTCTAAATATTTGCAATTGAAATCAGAATTGTATTCTACTTGGCCTGTTTTTCTCAAGCTATTAATTTTTAAAAGAAACAGCTGTGGCTGCAGAGCCAAATTTGTAATGGCTGGAGCCCAAAATGAGGAAAAATGAATTCCTCATAAAAAATGTATACTTAACCACTTTAGTGTAATGAATTAGTTAATTAGCATTCTGCTTGGAATGAGAAAAAGCCTAATCCCACTTTAGTGTATTTCCCATTTATGATGATGCTTTCCACCTGAACAGTATTATTCTTAAATGCTTACCTTAAAACTAGTGAAGTAGTTAGAAGTAGAGCATAAAAAATACCCCCTCAGAAATCCATGCTGATTTCTGTTAGTTGAAGTTGCTAGGAAAGCAGTTATCCATTCTTTCAGTCATTGATCCTGAGCTAACATATTGAGTTGCTGCTGCTAAAATCTGCATCTGGCAGCCTGCAGGTGAACACTGACAAGGGCAGAGCAACTTGGCCTCTCCTGTTGGCTGGCTCCCAACAACAGCCTGGGTACAAAGTCAGCACTGCATTGAGTTTTTACATCTGGTGCAGAGGGCAAAAGCAATATTTAATTTCCTGGAAGCAATGACACTTACTAAAAGGAAAGTTGATAGAAGATATGGGTTGTGATGCGTCAGAACCTCCTCAGGGAGAAAACAGGAAACATAGGGCACTTTAACAGAGAAAGGCACAGAATCATAGAATGATTGGGGTTGGAAAGCACCTTAAAGCTCATCCAGTTCCAACCCCCTGCCATGTGCAGGGACATCTTCCTCAAGACCAGGTTGCTCAAAGCTCCATCCAACCTGGCACTGAAAAAAAAGCTGCAAGAGGAAAAGGGACATAAAGAGCAGACAAAAATAGAAGTCAGACAAATTCAAATTTAAAACAAGATGACACTTGTAAAAGCACAGCTGCTTAATCACTGGAACAAGCTATGAAGAAATACGGTGGATCCTTCAACACTTTCCTGAGTACAAGATGCCTTTCTGGAAGAGCTGCATTATTTGCCTATGAGTGTTCCCTAGAGCTGGCAGCAGCAGCTCAGTTTCTTCCAGCTGAGAAAGGTAAAACCATGATAAATACTCCACGTTTATACTTCTGCTCGCTTGTGAAAGAAAGAGAGGCATCCCCCAGAATGTAAGGTCCAGAGCAGCTTGCTGATTTGTAAAAGTCCTCTGCTAACTCCTGTTCCAGAAAAGCTCAGCAGCATCTCAAATGCTATTTTCTAACACTTTCCAAGGTGAACCTTCTAGTGAACTTGCCATAGAGAGAAATGCTGCTTCAAGCAGTAGCTGTTAGCCCCAGTACAGGTATAACTGGCTGGAATGCAGTTCCTTAGAATCGATGACAGTAGTCACAGCAGCAGTTAAGAATGACAAAAATCTTTTCTTTGTAACTTGCACTGAAAAACGTGCCTGTCTAGCTAATCTGTTAACTTTTCCATGTGCATTTCACTGAGATAAGTTTCTGCCCAAATCACAGATCTGTTTGGTAATACTTGAGTAGTTCAGATTAAATTTCAAAATACCCATTGATATATTTTTTGCAAGGAGAAGTGTTTCATCAAATAGTCAATGGGGAGAAGAGGACTGTTCTTCCTCTGCTGAGTGAAGATTGGAAAGACTATTATCTGTGCTTGGTTTCTGCCTACTGACTGCTGCAATGATAAAGATGACTTAAAATGTTTCCTTGCTACCATGACGTAAAGAGGAAAACTGGATAACAAATTTATTTCACTTCCTCATTTCCCTTCTTTGACTGCTGTCTCTTCTAAACTGTATATATGAGATTATGCAGTTATATTCAAAACCAGCTGCTGAATTTTCCCCCCACTAAAACTGGGATCTAGATGTCCTGATCCAAATTTTACTGAGACAGTGAAGTTAGTCTGAAGCTGGGATTGATTTTAGTCAGATTTTGGGAGCTCAACACTTCCAACAGCAACTTGGGTTTGGCACATAGGTGCTCAGACAAGAACTTGAGTTTTGAAGTTTTTGAGTTATAATATAGGTCTTTGTTGCTGCATTGATTTGCTTTAAAATGGAGAAAAGGAGTCATGATTAATTTTTTTTTCTATTATTTTCCCAACTTTGGAATAATTCTTTTAGAAAATTCTTCTAGAAATGAGATTATTAGAATTGGCGAAGAGCATGGAAAAAAGAAATGAAATACACATTTTACCAATAGATAGAAGTTCTTCTAACAAATGATGAAGCATGAAGACACATGATTTCATGATTCTCATCCCTCCTCCAACGAACTCCAGATAGAAAATCCTTTGCTTTCCTAAATGCATTTCCAAACAAAACTTCATGACTATCTATTTCCATGCTATGCACTCTCTCTCCTATTTCCCTAAATGCAAACCATACACATGCACATGCAAGCATATCCATGTAGATAACTATTTTTGTAAAGCAACATGCTAAATACTCAAGTATTTTGAACTCAAAAATTCTAACACTATGCCTAGGATCTGTCTTCTAATAACTTGAACTTAGAGCTTCCAAAAGGATTACTTGGGATGTGTGGGACGTGCACCTTTTCACAATTTCAAATATATTTTTTTACGTATTATATGCTTACTAAAAGTCAGTTTTTTTATTTTTTCTACAAAGGTCTCTCACCAGGATCACCAGTCTGGAAATTACCTCTACAAGGCATTGCAAGCCTTAACATGCATGAGGGAAGGAATTTAAGGTACTCTGGCAGAGGCAGTGGAGAGTAGAGCTTCAGCATGGAAACCTTTTAGAGAGAAAAGAGGCTGTCATGACTACTTGCCTACTTACTTGGGAAAGGGGCAGATTTTCATACATGCTAGGATACACATTTGCCTAAACTTAGGCAAACTCTTGGACAATACTTAGACTTTACCAAAAACAGGTGCTCAGTAATGCTACCAAAGAATGGAAAATATGTCTCTCATCTAGGATTTCAAGACAGTTAACGATGAAATTTCAAAAAGCAGAATATGAATTTGTAGCAGCGGCACAGAAATCTACTTGCAAATTTTATAGTAAAAGCCTGCAATTTTTCTGTGGTTGAAACTGTGAAAACTCTTAACTTTGGCCAGAATCAAACACTTGTCCAGGGTAAAAATCTCTTCTGCAAATGTAAAACTCCAGTTACTGCACAATTAACAGGACTGTAACTCAGGGAAGACACCCTTATATAAAAAAGTTATTTGTAGCTTTAACAAATGACTGAACAGTGAGAGAGCACACAAGCAAATGAAGCACAGATATTGGAGGAATTCATAGAATCATAGAATAGTTAGGGCTGGAAAGGACCTTAAGATCATCAAGTTCCAAGCCCCTTGCCATGGGCAGGGACACCTCACACTCAACCTCACACTAAACCTCACCCAAGGCCTCGTTCAGCCTGGTCTTGAACACTGCCAGGGATGGAGCATTCACAACCTCCCTGGGCAACCTGTTCCAGTGCCTCACCACCCTAACAAGAAAGAATTTCTTCCTTATATCCAATCTTTCATATTGAAAGGGAAACTGTATCCTTTTTATGTTTGGAAATAGACATACTAAATAGAAACACAGATGGCATCTATCCAGTGGCTGTGGAACCATGGAGTGATGGAAACTGCTTTGCATGTAAAGAACTGACACTAGCGAACTTGCAAATTGTCAGGTGATATCACATGTATGTTTAATCCTTAGTATCTGTAAAAGAAAAGCATTAGTTAAAAAAAAATGTAATTCCCTAACAAATTTTATTAGTTTACTGTAGCAGTACTACATGTGCTGTGGCAACGAAATATCTAGGATTTAAGACCATCTCTTTGGCATAAATCAGGTTAAAAACTTAAGAGCTAAGAGTTGATGGCATTTTTTAACCGGGAAGTATTTATCCCTGCAAACATTTATTTTGAAATAATGTTTATATTATTCCCAAATTTGAAGTTGCATAATTATGTTTTCTATGAAAACAGCTATTCTCCACGTGTGGTCTGTCAATTTTCAGATTTTTTTCCCATTAACACATCAGACACACACAGGTCTGCTGTGCAGTCAGGGCGATAGGGTGGGCGAGCCACTCTAGCAGTTTTTGTATTAAGTGTGGGTGTTTATATACATATTTTAAAGCATTTCGTTCTCACTGTGGCATATTCCCCATTGAGTATATAGACTGTAATGCCAAAGCGAGTGTGTTCTTAAAGGAAATGTCTCTGGCTATCTTCACAATCTGATCTCTCCCACTGTGCCATGCTTTTTTGAGTGAATGCAGATGAAGATTATTTTCCAGTTTCTGCTTTAGACAGAACGCTGTCCTGAAAGGTTTAACTCTTTATTACACAAATGGTTTTGAAATAATGCTTAAAATTAAAACCAGCATTACATATATTGAGTTTCTCTTACTGAATGCAGGTTTTGCAGGCACAAGTACATCAGTCCCCACCTGAGCAACACTGCACGATTGTTGCCCTTCAGCTCAGCCACTGCTGTGCCCTGACTGCTATGGACCCTATTGATCCTGGACTCCCTAGCTTGTCCTCAGACCTGCCTTATCACCAGAAAACCACCTGTTGGTTTGGACCCTGAGCTGACGCCAGCCTGCCTTGCTGAGGTCCTGGTTGGAGAGGCCCCTGCCCTGCCACCAGCCATGTCATGCTTGGTTCCTTGTCCCTCTGGCCCCTGCTTCTGGATGAAGAGCTGTGGAATGCACTTACAGTTCCTGCTGGGACGAAAGAAGAAGGAAACGAATCCTGTTCCGTCCTCCCAACAAGAACCATCCTCCTAGCACCCACCTCCTCACTGCCTGAGCCAACAGTACAGGAGACAGTAGTTAGGAGGTTAGCTACACAGCAGGAAGTCTGTAAGTGAAGGCACCTAAGGAGAGCAGAACTGAGCAGAGAAAGAACTGGGCGGTATGATTTGAAGCGGGGCTGAATCAGAGCTGCCTTGCAAGTTGACTAGGCCTCCCAGTGAGCAGGGATTGCACTGTCAAGTGCAACACGGCTGGAGGCACACACAGAGCTCTGGAAAAATCACGTTACTGAACATCTCCCTCCTCTTTTCTGCACATCATCAGGGAATGAATAAACTGTGCCCGGCGGCCAGCCAGTTCACACACACACAAGTCCTTCTTGGGGCGTCTGGATGAACAAAGGAGACACTGGCAAGGCCCCAGGACCCACCGCCAGCTGAGGCTACACCCTCAGCTACTGCAGACTCTATTACTTTTTAGCAGTTTTCAAATGCACAGCTCAGCATCTAGCACCCTGATTTATTAAAGACCAATGCTTTTTATCGCAGCTCCCCAAGCTGACAAGACCCCTCTCGAACTCCCGCGGGGCGAGGCAGCAGCCGTGCCGCGCGCAGCAGAACGGGCTGGGGCAGGGGGCGCGAACTGCCAGCGGTCTGTCCCTCTGTAGAAGTCTCGCCAGCTCCTCAGCAGCAGCCCGCTCCGTCACTGTCGGCACAACTGCCTCTCTGCGGAAGCCATGGCGGCGGGAGGGAGCAGGAGCGCGGGTCAGTGGCGCGCTGGGAAGGGGCGCGGCCGGAAGAGGCGGGCTCATCGCCCGGGTGACCGGAGGCCGACATGGCGGTGAGGGAGGCGGCGGCACGCACCGAGCTTTGAATGAGGGGCGTCCGGCTAGGGCGCAGGCTGCGGGAGCGGCGCCCCGCGCTCCCCGCCCCCCGAAGCGCCTTTCCGCGACAGGCAGGTGAGTGGCGGCCCGCGTCCTTCTCCTGCAGGTGCACCGTTTCCGCCTCGCTTCGCCTTTCCGCGGCGCGGCTAGGTAGGGGGCCCGGTCTCGGTCTTTTCCCGCCTTAGGGCAGGCCGTCGCTGTTCTTCCCCAGAAGCGCTCCACCCCGTTCCCCTGCGTGCTCGGGACGCCGCGTGGCCGCCGGCGCACCTGCGCCCCGTGGGCCTCGCCCGCCGGCAGGCCTGCCCGGGAGCACGGGGCCCGCGGTCACCCGGTGTCTGCTCGGTGCAGAGCATGGCGGGCCGGGGGCACCTCACGGGCTGGGCAGAGCGACTAAGGAGTAGATCGGCAGCGTTTGGGGACTGAGGGGCTTGGCACCCGCTGGGGAAAGGGGACGGGAGCGCGTCCTGTCGAGCTGACGGGTTTCAGCATTTCTGGTGTTTCTCGGGGCTCTGGGGGACCATGCTTCTTGGGGTTACCTAGTGTGAGATTTTCCTTTGTTTCTGCTGACTGATAGATGGCATGAAAGTTAACGTGAAAGTTGCTTAGTACAGTTTTAAAGACTTTAAGGATCTCTAACAGGTCACAGGAAACTTAGGTGCTGCCGTCTGGCCTCGGTGCTGCCTGTAATTGAACACTTGAGCCCGGGCTGTTCTGTAGAATGATGGGACACTATTTAATGGTCATGAATTCTCAATGTGTCTGAGTTGCACCTATAATGTAAACAGCATAGCTTGCTGCTTTGCAGTCCTGGAAGTGCTGACATGCTTTGTAGAGATTTCTTTAAGCCCTTTTGCGCAGCATGTCTTGTAGTGTATCTTGACTGTAAATAGCAGGTGTTTGTCGAGACAGCTGATGTTGCAACATGATTTTATGGTGCTGACAATGAGGGTGTGTTACTTTTTCATCTCTGGCTTTCCATGTAGCTACAGATAACTAAAGTCTGGGATGACTAATAATGACTGGAACAGAACTGGGGTCTCTTGAACTGTAATTTTGTGCCTGAGAACTTCTCAGTGTTGTGATTTAGTGCATTATGTCAAAGACTTTTTGTGAATGTGAACAAAGCTGAAGTGAGTATCATGGGTTTGCATGACTTCAATCCCTGTGTTCTGTATGCTGGTTTTCAGAAGGCAGTGGTTTATATAGATAAGGATTGTCAAAGAATGTCTGATAAATCAGTGGACAGACTTTTTATTTTAGCAAACATTGCCTTGTAAAATAGAAGTTAGAATTTCTAATTCAGAACAGAGAGCTTCACGAGTTCACGTGAACAAGATTGGAACTATGTTCAGTTTCTTGCAGAGGAAGGGGTGAGATAAGGTGGTATTACTATAGCAGTTTTGTGGGTTTAAGAGTAGCATGCTTTAGAAGAAGTTGAAACTCCCTATTTTGTGTGATGGAGTGTTGGGTGTCCAGGAATAACTTGGTAATCACCAGCATGCACCAGTTTTTACTGCCTTTAATTAAAGAAGCACACATTCCATCTTGAATTTTGATATCTTCTGCAGCTCCTGATAGTCTTGAAATCTCTTGCTGTGTTTGAGCACCTTGGATCACTTAGTTCACAGGTAGAGTAGTCTTTTCCCAGCTACCTGGAGCATTAGTGTTGGAACTACAGTATATATTATGGACATCCACCAACCACCGACTTGTAGGTAGACAGGAGGTGCCTCCTAGTCGTTCCTTTGGATTCTGCTCCATTGTCTCATGCCATAGTAGCATGGCTTCAGGGTTCAGTTATGTTGCCATTTAACCTCTCTGTTTATCAACTAGGTGTTGGGGACATTGACAAGTTCTTTCCTTCTGCCTTTGTGTTCTAAATATTATGTATATATATAAAGTGATAAACAAGCAAACAAAACCCAAACACAGAAATCAGTCACGAAGAAGGGAATGGAACCTTCTCATCAGGCTACAAGACTCATGGTTACTCACTTTGAAATGCAGTAGGTGCTGATCGTGTCTTTCAGTACCTGACTGAATGCTGTTCCTGAATCATTATGTTGACCTTTTTAAAATACAGAAGGCCTTCGTACATGCTGTCATGTACATGATTTGGAGGAGGATTTGTGTGCTTAAAAATAAATAGGTTTTTTAGCTCTGTCTAGTAACCTTCTTAGAATTCAGTCTCCCTGTAAACCTAGTTGGGCATCTGCAGATAGATGTGGCCACTCCACTTTTGTAAAATTTCATACAAAATAAACTTCTAAGAAATCCTGTCCTTAGCAGTGAAACTTTGGACTAGCCTTATGGTACTTGCTAGTGAAGACACACTGGTTCAGCTGTGCTTTTGTGGAGTTTTGGTGCTGACATATGTAAGCACTTAAGGTTATGTTAGTCTTTTGTACTAGGAAGGGAACTTCTCATTTTGCTTTAGAAGGGTGAGGCTTTTTCTGTGGCTGCTTATGTAAATATGTAGCTGGCAGGTAACCTTTCAGTTTCAGATGTTATTTTTAGTCTCAGTTTAGACACCATCCTTTGGCTATTTAGCTAGCTGTGTTTAATGTAAGTTAAAGTCACTGTTACCAAGGTGTCTTCATGTATTCATTGCAGAGTCACAGATGAGCTGATGTTAAAGAATGTAACCAATTCAGAAAGAACTGGTAATTTAAGCAGAAATTTTGAAGATGGTGACCCCTAAAGAAAAACTACTCAGTAACAATCAGTCCTCATTGTAGAGGAACAGAGGAGAGAAGGATAGGTGTGCAGTGAGTGTTTTAGCATCTTTTTCACTGACAGTAGGAGCTGAGCTCTCTAAGACGGAACAAGCCTATAAAGTGATTTTAGTGCCACAAAGTGACTTTATTTTAGAATTGGCTTGGTCTTATGAAATAGTGTTTAAGGGGCACATTTAGGTATGTGCAGTTAGGTATGAAAGAGGGAGTGCTTTCCCACATGACAACATGTTCATTGTACAGTGGTGGCCAGTAAGAGTCCTGCTTATTGAACCACAGTTAACTGGCTCAGATGGACTGTGTATGCCATGGATGATTTGAGGGTTTGTATTAGTGAAATCAGAGTTCTGATGAGGCCACTACTGCAAGCTGAAAGCAATTGAAAAATGCTTCAGTTCAGTAAACTTCTGATCTTTCCCTCTCTTCACTATATTTCTTTTATAGATCTATAAAATGTTTTCAGGGGTGAGTTGCCTCATTCTTCTGGTCTGGGTCTAATGTGTTTCACATCTTGCTCCTGCTGTGCTTTAATCCTTTCTGTGCTCATTTTTCGTGTAAGCAACTGCTGTGATTTTTTTTTTTTTACTAATAAAAGCAGTATGAGCTACACTAGTCAAACTCCAGTTAAATTTAGTGTCTGTTACAAAACTGTTGCATTGACTGATAGAATCAGATTAATTAGGGTACATGTCCTGATTTATTTGCTTTCTGTTGTAATGGAACTTAAAAGTTCAGTTGACAGGAAGTCTGATAAATCTAATACATTAGAAGCAATCTCAATAATGGGAGAAGGAAAGTTCCATCTCATTTTACAAATGGGAAGATGAGGCATGAGGCATGTTATGCACAACAGCGTATCAGGCTGACAGACAATATTAATGGATTTCCTGAATTCTAGTCTAGTGTTTCACCTTTGCCATCTGTTTAGAAATGTTATAGGACTGTATATGTCTCTGTGCCATCCTGTATCATAGTTCACTGCTGATGTAATTTTAGTTCCTTTTGGGATTCATTATCAGGGAAAGGCTTAAGAAAAGAAAGAAGGATGTGGCCCTACTATTAAGCATTATGCTGTCCGATATTATTTCCCATTCATGAGATAAGGAGCACATGGCTGTGCTTCTTGACAGTGTTTGAGAAAGGTGGACAAGAAAAGAAAGAACACTTTGTTTCACTTAAAGTTTACATAGTTGTTTACCATTACACAAGTTTAGTGTAATGGTATCAGGGGAATTAAGTTTGCAGTAAACTCAAGGAATACTAAGGTTCCATGTGTACATATTTATTCATGTCAGTGCTTCAGAATATAAAATTATTTACCTTTGAGAAAATAAATTTAAAAACAAAACAAAACAAAAAAAACCCAAAACACACACCCAAACATAACCCCAAAGCTCCCCCCCCCCCAAACCTTTAGCTAACCTTTAACTTTTCTTTTTGGGTAGTGCTGTCCTTAGAGTAACACTGCAAATGCTTCAAGTGCTACTTCAGACACTGGGGAAGATGGTTGACTTGTCATAATATTGAGCCAATAATTTATTCACAATCCTGTTTTAAACAACTTTTAGCATATTGCAAAAATTAGTGTATATATACTGCTTCATGTCTTAATTAGCAGTATAAAAACTGGTTACACTGAGGAAAGTACTCTTTAAAGGCAGATGATTGCTAGTACTACTATGGCTAGCTGACTACTATTGTTGCTGAAACTCTGGTTGTGCATCATACATACTATCTGTAGTGTCCAGAGCTTAATTGGGAAAACTTCAGTGAAGAGGCAGGCCAGACAGTACGTACTGTCTTGAAGGGCCTAGCGCTGCCAGAGTTGAAGTGAAATGCAGCTCTAACACAAATACATGATGTGATTGTGTGTCTCATCTCAGAAACTTTTGTGTGACACATAGAAAGTGGAAGGGGACAAGTTACCTGATAGCTGTTAAACCCTGGCAAACAGTCATACAGGTGATACTGGAGTAGTCACTCATGTATAGGAATGATGTGGGACAAAAGGATTAAGTTCTAGTGGCTAACTTTTGTCAGCAGTGAACTTCACAAACTTGCAAGACAGACTTCTTGTGGATTCTGTTGGGGCTTTTTGGTTGTTGTTTATATTGAGCCGATAGAGTATACAATTTGGTATATAAAAAATGGGGATGAATTGAAAAAGTGAGGTTTTATATATATAAAACTGATTTATAATATATGTAACTGATACATGAGTATTATTTTTGTTTTAGTTTTGCACTTAAGTAGTAAACTTCCCAGTCCTCTCAATTCCAAACTCTTGACTAATCCATTCTTCTGTCACCTAGATACTGTCAAAATTGCTTATTCCAGAAGGTAAGAAGTGCTTGAGCACAATATGGAATGCAAGTCTTACCTTTAAAACTAAAACCTAAATATGTTGTACGGTGTCTGCTGTTCTTGCTTCTTTGTGGGAAGTTTTGACTGTTTCCTGTTAGATCAAGAGCCCATTTAATGCCCACTCTTGTATAAGGTTTTCTAAATTTAAGTCTTCCATGAAAGGAGACTAAGACAATACTAGTGTTGAAGTAAAGGTGAAGTGTGTCCTATGAGGCCTTTCTCTTGCGATAGAGCTTGGTAGTGTGGTCTGTAATTTGGCGTTTACTCATTGACTTAAGCCTTCCCTTTTCCAGTAAAAGAGCCTGTTTATTTAATAATGATTTCTCAGCAGAAATTTCAGATCTGGTCTGTATGTGAAGCAGTATTTCCAGGACTATATTTATATAGTGTTTAATACTAGTTACATTATCTTAACAAATGAGCACCGATAAAAAATAAGCTCCATGAAGCTCACAAATCCCATTATGTACTTTTTAATAAAATCCTCAGGGCAGTATTGGAGCAGCCTACCTAATGATCCACCTTCCTGACTCTTCCTAACTTAAAGCCTGGAATATAGAAAGTGATTTAAATGCCATAACATATTTGAAATCAAGCTGTCCTTCCATGGAGTACTCATGGCCTGAGGAAAATGTCACAGGGCTGCCTTCTCTTCTCACCAGGAGGTATGTTAAACTTGCAACAGAAAATGTTAACACATGTAGACGTATATAATGAAAAGCTATTTGTGAAGCCTAACCTCTTATTCTTTATTCTGAAATGTTCACCTCTAGAAGAGAAAAGGATCCTTGAATTACAACAGATTATTCTGTTTCAGTCTGTACCTGTGTAAGGGGATCTGTTGGAATAGTGTGAAATACTGAGTATGAATTCTCTAGATTATCAATTTGACACTGAAACAACCCTAAATGGCTTCAGCCAAAGATGACTGTTTTCTTGTCCGGGTTTGCCAGCATGATCCAGTCTGGAACAGGAATACTGACAGATCCAGGGGTTAACTGCTGCGATAGTGCACCCAGGTTGAACAGGGTCTTTCTTTGCTGATGATTTTTCAGTGATGCTGGTTCTAAAATAAACAACGTTTGTTCTCATCATACATTTCCATCAAAATGGAAGCTAAACAGCCAATTTTGGGTTTTGATTTAGTGACTAAATTTATAATTTATATGTGCAAGACTTGCTCATGCAAATGTGAGCTTCTTTCTGATGATTATTCTGTTATTCTTGCATCAGGAAAAAATTCTTTACTGTGAGAGTGACAGAGCACTGGAACGGGTTGCCCAGGGGGGTTGTGGAGTCTCCTACATCGGGGATATTCAAGGCCTGCCTGGACAAGTTCCTGTGTGATGTACTCTAGGTTACCCTGCTCTTCCAGGGGGGTTGGACTAGATGATCTTTTGAGGTCCCTTCCAACCCTTGGAATTCTGTGATTGTGTGATTCCTAGTGTTCAGTGCTATTGTTAGTGCATAAGCCAGCAGCTGTACAGTCACTGCGTTTGATTGCCCACACTTCCCTTTTTAAAATACCTCTAACTGTGACTTTACTTATGATAATGTGCGGTTTCTTTAAAGTCTGTATATATATTCAGTACTTGCATTATTCACATCACTGAAATGTCCTGATAGTAGGTAGGTAGTTTCTGTGCTCCAGGTACCTCCTCTCTCTTCTCGCATTAATATAGTTTCATAGAATGCTCCTTGCTTCTCAGCAACTAAGAAGTTGACTTTAAGAACCATGTAAATATGTATAATCCTCTATATCTAACTTCTTTTCTTTTGCAGGGAGGGTTTTTCACCATGGCCATAACACAGTTTCGACTCTTTAAAATCTGTACTTGCCTGGCAGCAGTGCTTTCTTTCATTAAAAAGTTAATATGCAGGTAAACAAGTGTGATTTAATTTGGTTACATTGTCTTTTTTAATTACAGGTTCTTGCACTTCTTTCCTTCTCCCAGCACCCACCTTGCACTTTTCCCAGTTCTGATTTTACTAATTGCAAAACAAGACAGATAAAAACTAAGTCAACATTCATGCTTTAAACTTCATATTTCTTCAGAATTCAGAAGTTTACGTCGTGCACTTGTGAGTGTACTTTGTGGTATGATAGCTCTAATGAGTGTTTTCTAAACAACTATGACAGGTTTTAAAAATGCCTTTTAAAAATATCCCATGTCAAAGCAAAATTGTTCTTTGCATTTTTTATAAATACTTGACAAGTGATACTTTGTTTTTTAAGAGACTTGATTAATGGCAGCACCCATCAAGTCATCAGTCAGTAAGCTTTCATTATAAATGTGTGATTCTAGTCCTGCTTTGTCAAGAAACAGTTGCCTGAGACTTCAGATTCTTCTGCCTGTTGAAGTTTCCTTCAAAAGTTTGGAGGAGAGTGATTAAAGTTCATGAAAACTTTTTTCTTTGTTTTTTAATGAACAGAACTTATTTTTTGTTTACTCTTGTAAGTCATATATAGTGTTCTTTCAAGTTGTAGACCCATGAACGTAGTGGGGAAGTACCTAGAAGCATTCAAAATCTTTCAAGAGTTATGGTTGTATATTAGTAGAGTTAAATAGAACAGGAGCAGATTACCTGAGGTACCTCTCAGCTCTGCTGTCATGGGAAGTACTGCTGCTTCTTGCCACTCTTGCAGAATGTTGCTTTACATAAACAAATAGCCGTTTAGAGAAATGCATTGTTTTGTGTATGATGGCTAGTACTTTGCCAGTGAGGTTACATCATATACAGAATATCTGGTAGACACAAATTAAATGTCTATTTCCTGTTCACCTTACTTATCCCGACAATAAGAGCAGCTCTCAACTGGTTGGTAAATTCACTACAGATATAGTGAAGCTTTACAAAGATATATTTTAATGCTGCATACAAATGTATAGATGCCAGCCTTAGTTCTGTGATTTCAATTCCAAATTAAATTAAGAATACTTCTTGTATAAGTTCTAAAAGAAATCAAAACACCGAGCTGATGATAGCTTCTGTGTTATATAGACCCTTCATCTCTCTAAGCATTAAGATAGCTTTTATAAGCAGATAATTATTTAGTAGGTGTAATGACAGTATTTTCCTCAGTTTTTCCACTTCTGAATGAAACAAATCCTTGAAATTAACAGCCAAGGAACTGTTTGAGAGTAAAAATAACTTTTCTTCTGTGAATAGCAGTTAGTTGAGAGAATGAAAATTTAAAATATTTCACATAAGCAAGTCAGTGGATGAAATTAGTTCAGTCTTTTAACTACAGATGTTTTTCCTGTTTAATGTTAGCTGCAAAGCATAGCTTGGACATTTTTTTCCTGTAATGCTCCCCTGCATATGAGTGTGCCCGATAACCAGCAAACATGATTTAATTAAACATGCATTTTGATTCAGTAGTTATGAACTTCTGCTTATTTAGATTATTTAGTTTACATTAGGCTTTCTTTTAAACAAGTGCCTGTAGAGATCATGCATCTTTCTGGTCGTGTAAAGCCTACATGTGGTACTAGTCATCTCTTTAGTTAAAACTTTTAATAAAAGCCTGCCAGAATCCAGTGTTTCCAGGAAATAAAAGGTATAGAAAGAAATGAAACTTTATTCTGTTTAAAATCTCTAGATAGCTTCTCCAGCTGGGAAATCTGGATACTGATAATTAGTAAAGAGAACCAAAACGCAAGAGCAGCATCTTATTCCTGTTGTAGAAAAAGAAGTGGAGATACATAGCCTTCCTCAGTGCTGCCCTGTGTAGCATGTTCTTTCCCATGTTTCCCATGTATGACAGAAGCTGTTGTCAGTGTAATCATTTTGTCTAGATGAACGTTTGCCGTAAACCACTTGCTGGAGTCTTCTACATCTTATAAATAAGGAAATACATAGGGAAATAATTGCAGAAGGGATGGCTTAGCATAGTATTAAAGATGCATATGTTGTACAGGTCTGCAGGATGTTTTCAAGCTTGGGTTTCCTTTAGAGACATCAACTAAATCTAGTCAGCCAGAACCAGAAGTCTCTAATTTGTCTGAAGAAACAGCATTTTCACTTTACCCCTAGACTTGCTTTTTACTTTAAAGGAACAGTTTTTAAGGGGGCTAGAGTTACGTGTATAAAACTTGAATATTTGATGATAGCGCCTGATCTTAAGGAAGAATCTGTTGGGCTTAAAATAAGAAAATATAATCACTCACCGACATGGGGCAGAGGTGGTATTCCAAGCAATTTGGCAATTCTGAGTTAATGGTAGGATGTTCTATAATAGTAAAAATACTGGATGTGAACTCAAAATTATAATTTCCCAGTTTTATTCTCATCAGTAGTAATAAGTTTTCTAAGCTATATAAAGTCAGTTACATGACTGCCTTGCTATAGGAAATTGCATAACTTGGGGTAAAAAATGAGTGTGACCTTGAATTTTATTCTCTTGTGTTGTAAGGTTTTAAAATATAGTGAATGTCAGCTAAGAATATTTTAATTATTATTGATCTTTGAATGGTGTCAGTAAGTAAACATCTAGGTGCTTTATTTGCATTAGTGTTCAGTGAAAATTATTTGATGCAGCTGCTGAAATGCTTTAATTAAAACTGTTGTTTAAATAGAAGCATGTATTGAACAGAAGCTGTTGACTCACATATCTCTTCATACCTCTGTTTAGACTTTGAAGGGAAGTGCTTTAGAGGGGCTTTCACATCAAGCAGCATGGAAAGTGGTTTGTTAAACACAGCATCTAAGAGAAGTAGAAATACTTCTCAGTTTACAATAGAAATGGTTATCATTAAACAGATGTAGGTCAATAGTGCTTTCTTTATAAGCACTGACAATCTAAAAATGGGAACTGTCTATATGCAAGTAATGGAGTTCATTTGTCTGTTTTCATAGTTTAAAATTGCTTCTTCTCCATTTCCGCTGCAGTTCAAAAAGTAAAGTGGAAATTCTTGTAAACATCACTTTCAATTCATGATGAAATTCTTTTGCTTAGCAAACTTTTACTGGCAGTAGTTAATACGAAAGTAGCTTAAGGACTGAATGTTTTAGCCATGACTGTTTTCAGTAGTGCTGTTCTCAGACTTACTTTTTGTTCTTTTTAAACTTAGTGCTCATGTTTTCAGAGCTTGGAGGAATCCTACGTTTTTCTTTCAGGTCTGGAAGAGGGCGAAAGTTAAGTGGAGACCAAATAACTTTACCAACCACAGTGGATTATTCATCTGTTTCTAAACAGGTAATTGCTTAAATGATAGGTCACTTTATAAATAATCCCTTAACACAGTGTTTATACCAGTCCTAGAATGTGATCAGTATATATATCATATTATTATTATATGCTATTATATATATGCTATTATTAGATTATTATTATATATGCTATATTATCTGAAGAATATGTCTTGGCAAGATAAAGACAAGTTTTTACTTGCAGATAATATTAACGTACCATATACTTCCTCTTCAGCCTGAAGTAGAAGACTGGTCATCATGGGATGAAGATGCACCTACCAGTGTGAAGATTGAAGGTGGTAACGGTAATGTGGCTGCTCAGCAGAATCCTTTGGAACAAATGGAACCTGATTATTTCAAAGATATGACACCAACTATAAGAAAAACTCAAAAAGTAAGTATTGCACTTTCAACTGTGCTTACTGAGGGGTTACCTTCCTTTAAATGAGGCTATAAATAAATTGGAAACATAGACAAGGTGCTGCTGGCAAAATTAAGCTGTCCTGTTGAATGATGATGATGATATTGATAGATGCTGATATGTAGTCTAACATGTCTAATTAAAAATATTGACTCTGAGATCTTGGTGAATGTGATGCTAGTTCACATTTACACCTTTAGTGTTATAGAAAACTTACGATTTCATAGTCTGAGGGCTCTGGGAAATATAATGTGAGAACTCTCAAGTCAAGTTCTGAGAATGGAACTACTGCACTAAGATACTTGTGCTTATTCCCTTCCGTTATTTGAACAGAGACATTCCATGTCCTACTGAACTGAAGTTTGGGGTAGCAGCACTGCTGTTTCAGGAGACAATTCACCAAGTTATATTGGGGAGGCTGGAATTAGGAAGCTGCTATTTCAGAATAGCTTGCTCTTCCGATATCCATTTTTATTGTGGAGACGACAGAGGGGCATATCCACAAGAGCATGGACACTGTAAATAAATGCTGAATAAGCTTCTGGTAATTGCAAGATTTATTTGTATGTAGAAGTCTTCCAGCTGGGTACTTACAGCACTTTGAGTCAATTAGAAAACCTTTTTCACAACAAAGGCATTCAAATACTGAAACAGATTACCAGAAAGGTTGTGCAGGCTCCATCTCTGAAAGTTTTTAAAATCCAGGTGGATTAGTCTTGAGTACCTTCAGCAGCCTCTGAACTGACAGTGCATTGAGGTGGAAGTTGTATTTCAGACCTCCCGAGGCCCTTTTCAACCTGAGTCTTCCTGTGTTCCTATGACCTGGAGATGATACCAGGGTCAATTTTCTGTGCATTCAGGATCTGCTGCATTCTGCGGAACAAATTCTGCTAAGGATTTTGATTTCTCAAAATCTGGGGCCAGAGGTACCTCTGCAGAGATGGATTTCTCCTCAAGAAGAGTTCACGCTGCTTGAATACTATATACTGGGTTTAGTTTAAATGTACCTTTAGAGGTGACTGCAGGCACTATAAAAAACATTCCTGCTAGCTTCACCTTGTTGCCACCCTCAAATAGGAATTTATGTTTGTTTGCATCAAATCTGAGCTCAAGGTAAACCCCAGGATCAGAGGTGGAATCTACTGGTGTTACCACTCCTATCCAATGTATGAAAATGGAACCTCAGTCAAATAACAGCGTCTCTCATTGCTAAATAAGATGGTTTAGTCTGTTTCCTTTCTTGCATTAGTATTAGCATTTGTACAGTCAGAGGATCTGGGAATCTGCCTCTTTTGGAATTGGCAGAGGCATAAAGTAGGCTGAATGAAGTAAGTAAGTTCGTATCTTGAGTTCCAGACACATAAGGGATATGTGATTTTAGCCACTGTCTTGAATTTGCTAATAAGCCTTTTTGGGGACGCATTAGTGCATGTTTTTGAGCCAAATCAATACAGAGCTTTACCAGTTAATGTGATAGTGAATTACGTTGCAGGTATTGAAACTTCTGCACAGGTAGGCTACTGAAGTAGATAAGAGAACTCCATGTTCCAAAGCAGTATAGCTGTGCTGACAGCACTGTCCTCAAGAGTGGTGTTACACAGTGACCTTTCATGGAAACAGGGTTTATCCAAGGAATATGTCATGTAATTAGTAGCTTATATGAGTACTGGGAGATGTGTCTATTAGATCTGTAATCACAGATTGAGTCACATTAAGTCATGTGACTTAAGTAAAAGCTGGTGGGGGAAGGAGGGAGTATTTGTGTCCTTTGCATTTAGCTTCTCTCACCAGTTCCTCTGGCTTTACAGCTCCCAAATCCTGAACAAGTTTGAAGCCCTGTGTGGTGTTGTAGGTCTTTATCCTCACAAGCACAGTTAGATGATCACCAAGGAACCTGTGCAGTGGTTTTACTCACCACTGTTTTTTTTTTCTTTTTTCAATATTTTCAGATAGTTATTAAAAAACGAGAGCCTTTAAATTTTGGGATACCAGAGGGAAACACGGGATTCTCTAGCAGATTAGCAGCTACACAAGATATTCCTTTTATTCATCAGTCTGTAAGTATTGATATTATACTTGACAGTTAAATGACTGTTGTGTAGGAGAATGAATAGTCTGCGTAAGGTCTGCATTGTGGGAAGCAAGAGGAATAGTTGTGGAATAACGTAAATTGTTTTAAAATTGAGTATTTGGTTCAAAGCAATGAAGTAATTAATCTAATTTTAACTAATGTATTCTACCGAGAAACTTAACAGATCAGTAGTAATGAAAAGGTAAGAAGCTTCCAAACACTTGTATAATCTTCTAAAGCAACGGGCTATACATCTGGGGTTTTCTTGATTTTACACAGTAAGTTCCTAACAGAAAGGTAGAAAGCTTTTCTGTTTGTTTCTTTTTCTTCTTGAAAGCCTCTGGGTTACCTTGGACCCATTTTTAACTTCCTTCAGGGAAATCCCTTCGTTTCTGTAGGGATTGTATTCTAACAGTCTCCTGATTTTTTTTGTCCTTCAGCCTTTTTAAAAATAGACTGGTTACCCAACAGCCTGGCTATTTAGAGGGAGATGCTCTCCCTTCCTTCCCCTCTGCCTTCTTTAATGGTGCTTCTGCTTTGTTTAATGTAGTGCACAGAAGGGTCTTGTCAGCAGTACAGAAGCTTAAAACTTTAGACAGCCTATAATGCATATAATTCAGGAAAGGAATTCTAGTGAAGAAAAGCAGCACTTAAGCAGCAGTGGACACACCAACACATGAATACACGTGTTGGTTTGTCCATGCAGCTTCCAAAAATCTACTTTCTAGTCATTTCAGCTGCTCAGCTTATTAGGTGAGAAGTATCATCATATCTCAAATATTTCTGGAAGTCTGAGGCATCGAAGGTAAAAATAAGTGTTTTATCTAATTTTTTTCACGTTTTTTGTTTCAGCCTGAACTGGGAGACTTGGATACTTGGCAAGAAAATACTAATGCCTGGGAAGAAGAGGAAGATGCTGCCTGGCAGGCGGAAGAAGTTCTTAGGTAACTCAAAATAATGTAACACCATGTAAACTTTTCACATAGAATCATAGAATAGTTAGGGTTGGAAAGGACCTTAAGATCATCTAGTTCCAACCCCCCTACCATGGGCAGGGATGCCTCATCTCTGTCCAACCTGGCCTTGAACACTGCCAGGGATGGAGCATTTACCACTTCTTTGGGCAACCTGTTCCAGTGCCTCACCACCCTCACAATGAACTAAGCTAACTCCCATACCAAATAAAAGTGGGAATTTTATCCTTTTAATAAAAACTATCACACAAAGAACTTCATCCTGTACAGTTCACAAAGCATCATAACAACATATTTACGTTTTCAGGTTTGCTTTCTTGGTTCTCTGTCAGCGGTGTCATAATCAGATGTGAAAGAATCAAATGGAGGTTGGTTTGTTGTAACCTTTCTGAGAAGGGCTAAGAACTGTTAATCAGTTAATACAATTGATTTTTATGCATCTGAGCTCTACATAACTGATACTGGGCAGAATGCATTTTAGATCTAATTAATTTTGTAGATGAGATAGTAGGGGAAATTGCAAAAAAAGCATTCTGGTCAACTAGTTACTGTAACAGTTGGGAAAGTTTACTTTTCTCAACCAGTAGAATAAGGGGAGGACACCAGCGCCCTTTTGATGCATTAATGATAGACAATAAATTCAAGCAATTCTGATAGTGTCAGTCTTCCTGTGCAGCAGCTTCACGTGTGAGAATATGGTTGTAAGGCAAATATTTTTGTGAACTTAATCAGATAGCTGTAGGTGTACACTCTGGTCAACAGCTTGGGTTTGATTTCTTTTTTGAACTTCAGTGCTAAAGCTCTTCCACCTCTTGTCTTTCACTAATGGATCACAGGAGTATGAGCTTTGTGATGTGAATGATGTGGCTTGGGGCTGGTTTTGTTCTAAAGATAATACCTTTTCCCATAAAGAATACCAGTAGACTCAGTAAGAGCTTTAATCTCTGAAGTACAATCTGTTGAGACTTACTTTATGGTGCATCAGACAAAGAAAATGAAAGAGTGAAAAATGCTGTTTGTTTTGATTTTTTTAATTTTTTTTTTTATCTTTAACTGAGAAATGAACCAACTACTTTTGCTGACTGCAGAAGCTGTGTTGTACTTTACTTAACCCTTGCCACATTCAATTACAGACATTTTCAGGACTCTGAAAAGAAGTATTCAAACTTTCCAAAGCAGGGACTTGTCTTACATAGAGTAGAAAGTAGTTTTCTCACAAACTCCAGTTTTTCAAGTGTCATCCTGTTTGGTTGAAGCTGTCTAACTTCCAGCCTGCCATCTTTACTATTGAGAGGTTTCAGCTCAAGTGCTTAACTTTCATAGAATTCTTGTGGGGCCCCACTAAAAATATCACACTTTGCTAGTTTTAGAAGAGATGTGTATGTATCTGAATACTTCAAATTCATGGAACAAACATGATGAGAACTGTAACTGTCTGTACTATGTAGTGCTTGGCCGGCTATGAATGGCTGCCTCGGCAAAACTGATCCTTGTGTAAGCTGTATCCCAGCTGTGTGAAGTAAAATTTTGTTTTGTTCATGACACACCAAATTACAATGTTTTTTTGTCGTTGAGGAAAGTGCTGGCTGATTTGTAGCAAGATTGATAGGAGATACCTTCAGGACTTACAGTTTCTCTTGCAGTAGACATCTGTGGTGTAATAACATCTGACATTTAACATAACACTTAAGTATAGTACTTGACAGGACTGGCTCTGCTTCCAACAGACTGTAGAAAGGAAGTGATCTGGAGTTTCTTCTTAATACTAGAAGACTGCATCTTGGTCTTGTAATCTGCTTTTGGGGCATTCTCCTCACTTCCCAGCATGTTCTGGGCTGGGATACACTGAAATTTTTCAGTCAGTGTTGAATCAGTGTAGAAGATGATAAACTGGATTTTCATTTAATTGAAACTAGCTAGAACTTGGTTTCTTCTGCAAATTGTAGATGGCTTTCTGTACCTTTAGACTTTCTAATACCAGTGAAGTTGGTTTTTCCCATTGGGAACAGTTAAGCTAAGTGCTGGTGCATTTTTAGTTGTGTTGAAGTAAAAGACCAAATGGAAGGCATGAATACTTTCCTGGTTTAAACAACTTGTATTATTCCATCCAAAGCCCGCTGAAGTCCTTGCTTTGGAACTCAGAAAAAGTGAGTCAGATATGGCTGCAGTTTGTCTTGTGCTTTTCTTCCACTAAGAAAGGAAGCTTGGAATAGAGGTCAATGTTTTGAATGTTGACTGAGTAAAAGAGCTGTGGAAAGGATATCACTTTTCAGCAAGCTGCTTGTTTGTTTTTTTTATGACTTTAGTTCCTCCGTTTGAGGTGATGTGAAGGTCCCTCTCATTTGGGTGTAACTTAAATCCAGTAAAACTACTCAGCCAGTAGAGGGCATGGAAACCACTCCTCTGTTAAGAGGGGTTCAGCAGTACGCAGTTTTTAGCAGGGAGAAGAAACATGACCTGGTATGACTTTCCTTACTTCAGAATGGCAAATGAATAGCATTGCTTAGCACCTCATGTAGCTTTTGGAATTCTTTAACATGCTGGCTGGTGTACATACAGCTTTTCCCCTTGTGCATCATTAAGTGGATTTGCACAGGTAATTTAGATACATTGAAAGTTAACACTTAACTGCCCTGTGAGTTACATTTCTGTATTCTTTTTTAATAAGAAAGTCTTTATCCTTACTGAATCTGTGTTAAATTTCATCTTTTCAAGTTAATGAAGCTTCATGTTTGTTTTTACAGTCCTCTTGCAGGCCACTTAGTAAAATTTAAATATCTGATAAACTGAATCCAAAATGTAACTTCCTTATTCCATTCTAATACTACTTACGCAGTACAGGAGAGAGAGCTACAATGTGCCACTCAGGGTATGGATCCGGTTGTTGAACCTGTGCCACTCAGTTATGTGTTGTAGCTGTAGCGGGGAACAAAATGAGTGGAACTTTGTGTTGGTTTTGCCCTTTGCTCTAGTCAGCTCTATATTTGTGGAAATTGGAAACTTTCTTCTGTAGACAAATTCTTTGAGCTAGCTAATAGTGATGTCCAAGGCTTTATCGCAGTGATGAGCAATAATGCCAAAAGGATGCACAGCTAAAGACTCTTACTTCATTTTCTTAAAGACTGTTGTCTATGCTTGTACTGAACACAAGAGTACAACACAGATCCTGAGCATGTGAAAGGGAGTGTTAGAGGTTATCATCTCATCTGATCTTGAGGGAAAGTTTGTAGTACTTGCATTACCAAGAAGATAACTACTGATGCTTGTGTTGAGGGAAAGGGGGACATAAGTTGGTGTTCTAGACAAGTCAAACTGTTTTGGTCTGAATTTGAAGAAACAGGTAATCTTAATAGTCCAAGCATTAGATAGCTGTTTATTCTTTTTCTAAATAGCTTTAGGCCATACACTCTCACTGAGTCTGTTACTCTCAATCCTTGAGAATTAAGTGGCTTTTAGATTGTAAAATAATTGCACAATTATTACTGCCCAAGACTAGACTAATCTGGAGAAAAAATAGGACTTCAGCACAATAGAAGAATAACTGTTCTGAGCCTAACTACAGTAAACTGCAGCTCTGTTTGATTAGTTATAACAACCTATTCATTCATGTAATGACATCAATTAATGATTAAGGTATGACCATGCTAAAAATTGGTTTCCTGTTATTTAGCAATCCATGTTTTCTTTAATTACAGACAACAGAAGATAGCAGAAAGGGAAAAAAGAGCAGCAGAGCAGCAGCGGAAGAAAATGGAGAAAGAGGCCCAGAGGCTAATGAAAAAGGAACAAACCAAAATTGGTGTAAAACTGTCCTAACAGAAACCAGGCATCAATGGCAGTGCCAGTGAAGAAGAGAATTTCAGCTCTGCAACATACATACTGGTATTGATTTTAAGTATTTCTAGGACTTCAACATGCTGCTTGGTTTCAGTGCATTCTTCAGGTCATTTTGGAATCCAGGATTCTCCCAAAATACCTTGAACTACTAGTTGGTTCTCTTAAAGGAGAAAAAGCCCACAGAAAATCATGCCTTGATGGAATCATGATTCCTGCAGTTGTTCTATTCCAGCGCTGTTCTTTGCAGCAGAAATGATTGAGCAAGGATGTTGATTGAAAGACACTCTTAATGAACAGCTGAAGCCTACAGAAAAGAATGTAAATATTCAGTGGTGGGAAATCTACTGTATTATCTGTGCTTACCTGAAACGTGTAATTAAACAGTTTTAACCCTTTTCTTGCTGCCTGGTAAAGAATGTCTGCTTTTGCCTTTTTATAAAGGTATTTATAAATACTTCAGCATTTTCTATGGGTGATCATATTTTGACATGTGCAGAAGAAAAGTGCTTGTTATAGATGACGTGTGACTCTAAATGTACTCCTGGTAGCTTATGCTATGGTAGAGCACAAGTCAAAGCTGAACACTGAAGTGGCTCTATTGTCACTTTGTCACTTGCAGCTTCTTGTGCTGCCTTGCCCATTTACACATGACAATGCAGTGGCATCACCACACAACAGCCGTGCATTCTGTTCCTTTCTTATGCAGGTGGATGTGAACACGGGGGAGCCATTTCATCACTTGCATATAGTGGTAAATTTGTATTTACAGCAGAAATTCTTCCTACAGTTAAGAAAAAAAACCCTCACACCTTATACTTTTTTGCATAGGTAGTATAATTGAACAAAAATTGTGTCCTGTTAATAAAGCTAGTGTTAAAATTCTCAGTTCACAGCACTTCTCACATTCCATTTTTGTATATTTACTGTATGTATTTCCACTGGAATTCCTCTGGTAAAGTGTGTGGGGTAGATACACAGAAAACAGCCATGCTTTAGAGAAGAAGGGAAGTTTCACATCTGCTGGAAGGGAAGGCGTACAGTTGGAGGGGAGTCAGTGTGGCTCTCAGACGTAGCTCACAGGTATGGTGAATGCCTTCTCCATCTTCTGTTGTGTGGATGCTGTTATCCCTGCATTTGGGGGTTGTATGGATTTCTTACCTGGGACAGATGAGTGAAAACAGCAAGTACTGTGTCTGAGCCTTGTTCCCTGTGCATGCAGGGAAAGTGTAAAGGAATGCAAAAGGGCAGGGGGCTGTCAGACTAGATCATGCCTGCCTGGAAGAATAGAATTCTTAACTAAGTTTTAGTAGGTTCTGACACAAGTTTTGCTTGCAAGATAAGTAATGGAGAAGATGACAGTAAGAGTGACCTTCAGTGGGCTTGTTGAAAATGGTTAGCATGCTTGCCATGTACTTAAAATCTTGATTTAAGCAGTGATTTGACGGCAGTTTTCAGATATGAAATAAGTCCTTGAGGAATGTTATATTTTAAAATACATTATAGAGGGCAACAATATGGACTTTTTAATGCATTTTTTCTGTACAAGTGTTGTGGCTGGAATAGGATGGATAGCTGCAGCCGGGGCTGACTGAACAGTGGCAGGACAAGTGAGTTTGCTCCTCATGCACACGTCTAAAGCATCTGAGGGTGAATAGGGGATAAGGAGAGAGTCTGTCAATAAGCTTTAATAACCATGTCTGTCATTTTAGTCACATTGATGAAGCGAGGAGGTACAAGTGACAGCTCCCTTTTGCTGACGGAGGGCAGGGAAACTGCCCTCCGTCAAATAGTGGGCAAATGGTATCTGTTGCCTGTTTAAGGTCAAACCTGCTGGAAGCTACATCTCATAGTTTACAAATCAGTTTAGTGCTTCCTATTGCTATTTTACAGTGTAAAATAGATGCAAATAAATACTGTTTATTAAAAATAAAACATGGGCTGGTTAATAAAAACTTAGACCCAAAGCCCTTGAATTCATCATGAAAGTATGTTTGTTTTTTGAGCCTTCAGGCGTTCAAAAAGCCGTTGGGTGCTGCCACCCTCTTGCTAGTCAGCACTTCTGCAGCTGTATACTGCTTTGCTGTGTTTCTCTCTGTGTCTGCTGTGCTTCAGCACAGCTGCTCGAGACATCAGTTCATGGACCATGTGCTGACATGATGCCAGTAAGGATATGGTGCTGTTGTAGATGCATGCTAAACCCATGCAGTGGTGGTACACTTCACTTTACCCGTGTTGTGTCTTCTTTCCTCTTTCATAGGCTCCTCCTTTTCTCTCTCACACTCAGCCTGTTGGCCATGCCTTTTATTTCTTCACTGAAAGCTAAGACTTGATTGCCTTCACTGTTATTTCTGTCTATGGAGAATTGACCTGCCAGGAGGACTGAATATCATCCTTTCCTTGGCTTTGCTATGGTTGGTCATGTTTGCAATATCCTGTCTTCATTTGTCTGAAGGGTTTTGGAGCAAAATTCTCACTTGTTCTTCTCATGTAGGACGTAGATAATACAATGTTTTCATTTTGGCGAGTTCCTAGAGGGTGGGATTTAGGAGAGAGTTGCTTTAGGGAGAATTTCAGGGCAGGAGGTGGGCAGTACCTAAACCTTTGTGTTTTCATCATCTGATGGGCATGTTGGGTACCCCTTCAGCTGAATAGTAAAGAAAGGAGTTCTTGTTCCTGGGCTAGAAAGCAAAATGCATATTGGTGTTATCAGCAGGTGGTACTTCAGCATCCACATCCTCTGTGGATCAGGGAATAAAAGTCACCTGCTGCTGAGCAGTTAAATGCCTTATGGGAGCAGAGCAGACCAGAAGACTTTTAAGGGCAGAAGCAACTTTGATGTTATTCTGGTGTTAGCACCTTATGTCTTCAACAACACGTTTCAAAACTACTGCTAAATGCAGCCTGCCAGAATAATGGGCTGAAATCAGCCTGGAGAAGAGAAGGCTCCAGGAAGATCTTAGAGCAGCCTTCCAGTGCTACAGGAAATCTGGAGGGGACTTTTTACAAGCACATGTGATAGGGCAAGGGGGGATGGCTTTAACCTGACAAAGGGGAGATTGAGATTAGATACTGGGAAAGAGTTCTTCCCTATGAGGATGCTGAGGCGCTGGCACAGGTTGCCCAGAGAAGCCGTGGCTGCCCCATCCCTGCCAGTGCTCAAGGCCAGGTTGGACACAGGGGCTTGGAGCAACCTGGTCTAGTGGAAGGTATCCCTGCCTGTGACAGGGGCTTGAAACTGGATGAGCTTTAAGGTCCCTTCGAACCCAAACCAATCTGTGATTCTATAAAATGAGTTTGTCCTACTGTAATTTTAAACCCATGTGTGGGTTTGTGCTTTGTTGCCTCTTGCTGCAGTAAAGAAATCCAAAACTGTAATCAAGTTGGTAACATCTTATGGTACAAAATACTGTTCTCTTGGCCTTGAGCAGACATGCTCTGAAGCAGAAGCACAGCATTTTCTGACATGTCTTCTAGTGCCAAGAGAGGACACCTATAAATGATGAAATTGCACCTGTAACATATGAATTAACCCCCCACACTGGCTTTGGTGTCCATGTAATGACAAAGCTTCTGAAAGCGACCTCTAAGCAATGCATACTGCAGCAGTTTCACAGGGCACACCAGGCCTGCGGGAGCCCAGGAGAGCACTGGAGAGCAAGTTACTGGCAAAGAAAGCAGGATGCTCCCATAGCATCTTTGTGAGCTCCATGGGACTGTGTCACATTGAACTGTCTGTTAATTTTCTTCCTTGAAATAATGCTTAAAGAGCCATCTTTGTTGCAAATACAAGTAATACAGAACTGAGGTAACACAAGGATGTGAAAGGACCCTGAGTTGCCTTTGCAAGCACCAGTGTGCATCACCCTCTTGAGTGTTGCAAATGCTCCCCACATGCTGGCCAATTCCTCCTCCTCCCTCTGGCTTACTAACAGTTCCCTTACTCCCAAAGCTGATGAACAATGCTGGCATTGTCAGGCTTCACCAGGCCTCCTCTGTCCTGAGCTGCACAGGGAAATTCTTGCGTTGCTTTGCTTTGCAAAGGGAAAAACAGGAGGCCGGTGAGGTTTAAATGGCCAGAGGTGTTTCTGGAAGCTGCGGTGGAGCCAGACAAGCCCCACCGTTCATCTCTTGGGTGATGTTGCCCTCCTCTGATCTATGCACAGATCTCATGGTTTGGACATGGTTTGATGGTCACAGCTGCATCTCAGTGTGCCCAGACTGTTGGCCGAGTTCAGCTGGGCCTCCTGGACCTCTGTCAGGCTCCAGGAAACTGATACTCTTCTGAGAGCACAAAAATGGGAAGTTGCAAGGTTCCAGAGGGCTGCACTGGGTTTCAGAACAGGTCCTGTGTGTCTGTGATGCAGTGTGTGTGCAGCAGAGCAGGCACCTGTGGCCACAGACCCACTGCTGCCTTTTCCTCTGGCTGAGTACTTGTGCTTGGAGCTGTACTTTAGTGTCCTCAGTCTAACTCTGTGCTCTGTGTCCTTTAACCACATTGCTGAACAAGGAAAGTTGCCAGTACTTTATCTCTATACTGACTCATGGATGGTGGCAAATGCCCTGTGGGGGTGGTTGCAGCAATGGAAGCAGAGCAACTGGCAACGCAGAGGTAAACCCATCTGGGCTGCTGCACTGTGGAAAGATATTGCTGCCCGGGTGCAGAACCTGGTGGTGAAGGTACGTCATGTAGATGCCCATGTACCCAAGAGTCGGGCCACTGAGGAACACCAGAACAACCACCAAGTGGATAAAGCGGCTAAGATTGAAGTGGCTCAGATGGACTTAGATTGGCAACGTAAGCGTGAATTATTTTTGGCCTGGTGGGCCCATGACACTTCAGGCCATCAGGACAGAGATGCAACATATAGATGGGCCCGTGATCAAGGGGTGGACTTAACAATGGACACTATTGCCCAGGTTATTCACAACTGTGAAACATGTGCTGCAATTGAGCATTCATTGTTTTGGATTAATAGTCACTTGTCACAATGCTGATCTATTGGCTCTCAAAGTTGTTGCTCTTGATCTCACAACCAACCTTATGCCCTATCACTGTGCCTCCTCCTGCTCGGCCTGTGCTAGAGATCTCAGCTGAAATGGGGTGTTTTTTATAGGTTTTCCACAATAAAACACTCACACATTTGACATTTCCAACATGCTTTACTGAACTTGTGATAATAAAGGTAACTTACACAAAAACAAATAAATAAACAATAAGTTAAAACACAATATTTATCCTTAGTATTTTAAAGGGCTTGGAAGACTGTTCCATTACACTCAGACTTAAACAAAAATTAAGATTCAAAGTGTATCTATCGATGTCCAGCTGGACACAAGTAACGAGTGGTGTCCCTCAGGGGTCGGTGTTGGGACCGGTCTTGTTCAACATC